TTTTGTTTGTTTGTTTCTTTGCTCTCATCTTCGCGAGGTTTAATTTTTTTTTTTTTTACCACCTCAAACAACACTCAAAACAAACAGATAAACAGAAACAGTATAAACACATATATATAAATATATAAATATAGATATATATATATATATATATATATATATATATAAGCGCATAGAAATGGTTTCTTTACTGGCGTGTAGAGAGTCTCTTCTTCACAAGATCTTGTGCAGCATAAAATGCAACACCATCCGGGTCTTTCTGCAATCTTCGTTGCATTTCTGCTGCCTCAAACTGTTCGCCACCGTCTATGAAACGGATATCACCCTCTGTGAATATGGTCACACGTGGGGTACCAGTGGTGGGAAGAGAAGAATTGACGCTCTTCAGTGTGGGTAGCGTATCAGACCCTCCTACAGATTCAGTTCCTGTCTTACCCTTTTGAGGCAAGATGGTGGACTGCAGGCTAGATTTGTACCAGTACTGAAAATTATTCATAAATGCCTCACGATGTCGGTTGAGCTGTTTGACAAGAACACCCCGTTCTGTCAAGGCCCTCGTCACAGCGCGGGTAGTATGGGACAGAAGTGCCTTCTTTTCAGTCGCTGACATATTGCGAAGATCCTCTGTCAGTGAGGCACGCAAAAGATTGGCTGCAAGTATGGATTCATTGTCATTGTTGGTGTTGTTGTTATTGTTATTATTGGTGGTGGTGGTGGTGTTATTGTTCTCATTAACGGCATCGCTACCCTCAGAGACATCCACGGATACGCGTCCTGTTTGTGATGTTGCGTACCGGGATACCACACGTTCTTCTATTCTTTGCATCCCTACTGATTGACCCTTTTTATTGGACTCCATATCAGCTTTAATCTCCTGAACTCGTTGTTGTAACCGCAAGATCTCCTCATTCTTTTCAGCCACAAGTTTCTGTGCATTGTTAATTACTTCTAATTGACAAGCTCCATTAGGTGTCCGTTTGTACATTTCAAACGCCAAACGCTTGTCACGTACAACACCTTCTTGACGTCCAATACCCTTTACAGATGGTAATGGAGCCGTAGAAGCTTGTTGTTCTGCAGGCGAAAGTGTATTTTCATAGGCTTCCCTTGCCGGGGAATAAGAAGAGGTAGGTGGGTAAAATCGTCCCTTCATCAACTCCTCATCATTGGGGGTTGAGAAGTTTGTCGTCGATGACGCCACTTTCGATGCTGCAACTGCAGCAGACGTAGCAACAGAACCTGCCATTGTATTTTGAGATGCAGCTGTAATAGCCTGTGGAGATACTGTTGTTGCTGTTGTTGTTGATGTTGTTGCTCTTGTTGTTGCTGGTGTAGTTCCTGCGGTGGAGGGCACTGTTCCATCCATTACAGAGGTAATAACGTAATCAGCGCCCGATACTCTTCCTGGAGACGTATTATGGCCTGCATGCGCACTGAAGGAAACATTACGTTGTTGCTGCTGAAACATCTCTCGCAGTCCGGGACTAAGTTTATCTGTTGACCCCACACCAACACCAGTTGTGGTGTCCATTGAGCTAGTCACATACCTAGTCGTTTCCCTCGATTCTGAATTATTATTCTGTCTCGTACTGTATTTACGTTTTGCAGTACTTTTAGCGCTACAACTGCTTCCTGGACGTGGTGTTGTGATGGCCAATTGATGTTCCATGTCTTTCATCATCGTATCTCGTTCTTCCAAAATGGATTTAAAGGCGAGGAAACAGGCATGCATTTCCCGCACACACGTTACGGAGACCTGTGGAATACTTCCTTCAATAAACGCCTCCACTCGTTCACGTGCGGTTTGAATTTCATCTGTTTCGAGTGGTGCTGTGGCAACGGCCTCCCGTCCTGCGAGTTGATCTTGCATTCGCAGTTCTGCCTTTAAACTGAGTAGCTGTTTCTGCAGCATTTTAATCTGCGCCTCTGGATCCATGGAGGCATGCATGGCTGGTTTGGACTCCACTCGCATCATTCGCTTTGCAAAGTTAAGTGTGGCGATGGTTGCCTCTGTATGGCGTGGCTCTGGCCAGACGTTTGCAATCAACGTGGTCCTACTGCTGCCGCCGATGGAGTCCTTCAGCAGCATCGTGAGTTTACTCTGTCTGTACGGTACGTGTCGCGGGCGGTGGGCGGCGAGGGCAAGCACGACCTGCTCAAGCATAGCGAGAGATTTGTTGATAACGCGCGTTTCTTGAGCGGCGGCCTCGTCGCCTGCCGCGTACGGCCGATCGCTGCTCGCCAAGTCCACAAAATTGCAGCGCGAGTGGTGCACAACGGCGTCGCTGTCAATGAGACTTTTGCTCACGACGTAAAGTGTGAGAACGGCGTGGGAGCGGGAACTCTGCGGATTGAGAGGATTCGCCCCGCAGAGCCGCCGCTGGAGTCCCTCAAACACCGCCGCCAGCGCCTCACCTTCACTCACACACACACGCTCATCCACACCGCGGAGGACCACCGCCCCGCTGGTGTCAATCGTCACGGAGGCTTTATTCACATTGCCACTCTCTTTTCCACCAATCTTCGCTGCGGCGGCAAGTACAGCAGCAGCAGACGGGCCACGGCCAAGCAGATCATACACTTGCTCACCGTACACTTCCACAAAGGTAAGACTCACTTTAAATTCCCGCTCACTGGAAAGCTTTATCGAATCAAATACAGCCTGTATAGCGCGTGGAACACATCCACGTGTAGGGTACGTATTTCCACCAAAAAGTGTATACGTCTTTCCAGATCCACTTTGGCCATGACAAAGCAAAGTACAGTTGAAACCTTGCACCACCGCCTCCACCAAATCGGCAGCAGCTGTGTTGTAGACAAGCTCCTGTGGAGCATCTTGCAATATAGCGTCAGCAGTAAAGGTCAAGTTCTCTTCAACACTTGTACCACCCGGTGAAGCTGTCTTGGTGTTTGCACGTGTTGCATTACCCGTGGAAACATCACCATTATTAGGGCGCGTAATGCAAAGTGTATTGTTTGACATTACATGAAAGTTATTCGTCACGAAGTTAGTGGGCCTCGTACGAACTACAATACGCACCTGAGACGGCATACTGTTATAAGAGCGTGCAGTAAGCATGCAATAAATATATATATATGCAAAAAAGAGAAAAAACTAATCAGAGCAATGCACAAACAAAGGAAAGAAACACGCACACAAGCTGAATAAATAAGGTGAAAAAGTCCCACAATACCCTCCTTCAGTACAAGTGGTACAGAAGTAGAGGAGGAAGGTAGTTAACTCTATCCTGTCTGCTCCGGAGGTCTGTATGTGGTGTATGAGACTTATGTTTTTTTCCTCCTTTTTTTTTTTACTATTCTGTGTGTGTATGTGAGTGAGGAGAAAGGAGAGGGGGAGAGGCTTGTGAATATTTGTTTCTTTGTGTTAGTCTTCCTGTCTACCTTCCTTTTTTTTTTCTTTTTTGGGGAAGTGAGAGTGTGGACTCTTCCTTTTACTGGTATGTGTGTGTGTGTGTTAGTCACTCCGTGGAGAGATAATACAGTATTAAAGTTACAAATAGAAATAAAAAGAAATGAAGAAAATAAATTATACACAGAGGGGTCCAGAATTAATTCAGCATGTGCATACAAAAACCCCATCACACGTAGAGCATTAAAAACTACAAGTAAATGGCTAGAAAAAAAAAAAAAAAGAGTAAGGCTGAACATATTTTGCTTTCATTCTCCAAATTGCCAACAAAAGAGGCACCCCACGCCCCCACCTAAATAAATACACACATGAGCAGAAATCTGTACACAAACAGAAGTATATATACATACATATATATATGTATATATCGTAATTATAGAAACACAAATAAAGAGAGCAAGTATGGCAGTGGTACACCTCCAAGACCCCAAACCATCCTTTTTCATCGTCTCTCTCTTGCAAAAACTCTCAGTTATTCCCTCCCTCTCTTCCTTCTGAGTTTAGTATTATCGTTGTTTTTGTTTTTGTTGTTGTTGTTGTTTTTTGACTGTTTGTTTCGATTCAGTTTTTACGTACTTTTTCGCTTTCTATTCAAGCTCCGGTTTAGAAACGTCGTTGTAGTCATGACCGAGTACGCAAAAGACAACAACAACAAAAAAAAGAGCATAAACAGCATCAAGTAAGAGGTGATGATGATGATGAAGGGTAGGGCAGAAGGAAAGAAAAAGAAAAAGGAAAATAGGGTAGAAGGAAAAACAAAACACCTCTGTACACAAAAAAGTACTACAGGGTATACTCTCACATTTCCAAAATCTCCTTTCAGTTTATTTCTTATTTTTCTTTCTCTTCTTCACTTTTATTCTTTTTTTTTTCTCCTTCAGTATGTACTCCTCTTTTTCCAATTCTCTCTGTCATACTGAATTGCGCAGATTATGCAAAGGGAGAACGATCAATCACGCAAAGCAAGAGAAAATAATAATAATAGTAATAATAATATTAATAAAGGTAAAACAGAGGATATAATGCACAAACAATATGCCATTTGCTCTTTCATTTGTTTGTGTGGGTGCGTGGGTGCGTGGAAAGAGGGAGGGAAGAAAGAAGAAAGGTATACAGGAAATATACAAAAAAAAAAAAAAATGAAATACAACAGACGATGAAAACAAATACGTCTGAAATAAGGCAATAACAAAGGGAAGAACAAAAACAAAAAAAAAAAAAAGAAAATTCTTGTATTACATAGACTAAATCTTCACATTTCTCACACTCTCATAATACGCCTAGTGATTATCTGTATTATATATATATATATATATATATATATATATATATAACCAAATGATGAATTACATCAACGTCATGGCGTATATATTTCCAAAACTATCACCTAAAACAACCTTGCTGGTTAGGCCACTGGCCATACAGTAAACAGGTGCTTTACAGAAAGTACTAGCGTACTCTTTTCCAGTTTCAATATCAATAATATACACAAAACGATTTGTACATGCTGCCACAATATATCCTGTGAATGGACCAGGAGCAGCACAGGAAAGTGTCCATCCTAGCTTTACCATGCGCCCCGACTGGCGTGTGACACCAATAACGTCCGCCACAGAAAGTCTCAGTTTACGGGATCCATCTTCTGTTGACCAAACACAAAGACATTTCTCATCATTGCTAACAATATGAGTCCCATTAGAAGTGTAGCTACATGCAAGAACAATACCCACATGCCCTTCGAGTGTCCAGCGAGTCTTTCCCGTTGTTGTTGACCATACCCGCAGTGTTTTATCTGCGGAGGCGCTACAGACATATTTGCCATCAGGGCTATAAGCAACACTTACAATAATACCACCGTGGTGTGTGTACGCCAACCGTTCCCGTGCGTTGCGTGTATCCCATAGACGACAAATGCGATCTTGACAACCGGAAACGACAGTTTTGCTGTCTGGACTAAAACAACAACAAATCACAACTTTATCATGTTCAATCACGCAAAGCAATTTGGTGACGGTGGCGTCCCACAGTGTGAGTGTGTGGTCTTTGCTCGTCGTCGCAAGGAATTTACCGTCGGGTGAGATTGCCGTGCAGATAACGGTATCGTGGTGTCCAGTGAAAATACCCTCTTCGTTGCCATTTGAAAGTGCACGCATCGTAACAGACGCATCTGTGCAGGCGCAACTCACAATACTGCGTTCGTTTGGAGCCACCGCCAAACACTTCACACGCGCCGCGTGGCCAATGAGTGTGTTTACTTTAAAGTGACGTATAGGGCGGTTTGAAGTGTTTGATGAGGATGCCTCCGCACTCTTCACTAAGGCAGCGGCGGTGTTTGGCATCGCACTGAATGTACGTGTTACTTTTGCGCTACCCGCCGACCGCCGTGAGAGGCTCTCTTGCATAGATGCCCGCCGCTCTGCACTCTCAAACGATGCCCCATCACGACTGAACTCCACCTCGTCCACATGTACATTGAAGTCGGTAAAGCGAAACAGGCTCGCACTACCTTTACCATCATCCCACGTTGTGGTGGCGGGCGTACCGGCTGCTGTGAAGAGCGCCATTCCAACAGCGGAGTGACGGGGATCCGTCGGGCGGCGGCCCATCGCAGCGGGCGGCTTACGTCCCTCAATGCGCCAATGTTTTGCCTGTGCCTCGTCCTTAGAGACAACGGCGTCATCGTAGACAAACAGATCCTCCTCAATTGTGGGAGCCAACGCCTTTTGTTCGGATACTATATTTTCCGAGTGAAAGAGCATGTGGGGAGCGGCTGGGGAGTCATTTCCTAAACTTGGCTGCGAGGCCCCTACGGTGATATCCGAGAGCATCTCCTCTTCACCGTCCGCGTCGCCGCAGGTGCGGGAGGTTCTTTTCCCCTTGTATCCATTGCCGACACTCAGCCGTGTTCGTGTGAATGTTGGGAGGTTCGCTGGGAACTGTGGGTGGGGAGCATTCTCACCTCCCTCATTGAAACTGACAACAGAGTTGGAGGGAAGCGCAGATCGACTAACACCACAGCCCATTTAACGTGACACTCACTAACGAACGACCTCCCCTCCTTCTTTAACTACTATAGTTTTGCTGGTTTTCCTTTTATTGGTACTTTTTTGGATGATGATGATTATTATTATTATTGTTATTCCTGTAGACGCCCGTCGTGGTCGTCTCGTCACCGTCGCCGCAGTCAGTTATCACCTCTTATTATCCAGGTGACTGCGATTGTGGCAGTATAATGAGAGAAATAATAGAGGTTCAGCTGCGAAGAGGAAGAGAACGTATTTTTTTTTTTTTTTTTTGCTTTTTGCTTTTTGCTTTTTGTTTGGTTTCGCTGCTTCCTTTACTCTGATTCCTCCCTAACTATTTACCTGTTCTCTGTGATCACCACGCAATGTCCCTCTTGGACTAGAGTGAAACAGACCTACGCGCACCCTCTTTCCCCTCTGCCCACTCGATTGGTTTCTTCTTTTCTTCTTTCCTTTATTGTGGACAAAAAAAACCCAATATGGGATTGAGAAGAAAGATGGAATAGAAGGAAAAAGGTGTTTGGATAAAGCAAATAAACTAAAGAAAATAAAAAAGAAAACATGAGATGGCAGAGAAATCAGAATCAGTAAAAAAAAAAGGAAAAAATATTGGCAGCATCATAACAAATCAACAACAAAAAAAAAGAGATAATAGTCTTCACATTTTCTTTTCTTTTTTTTTTAAAGATTCCCCTCCCCCAGAAATAAATAAATAAAAACGCACTTCGCAGATACGTTTTGAAACAGAAACACATACGTATTAAGCCAAAGAAGGAGAAAAAAGAAAACAACATAATAACATAAAAAAGGGGATCATGGGGAGTTCATTTTTTTTTTTTTTTGTGGGGATGGTGGGGTAGGGACTTCAGTGGTGTAAACACACCCCATTCTAAAGAAGAAAAGATGGCAAAAGAAGAAGAGAAAGGGATTTCTAGTAAATAAACACATTCATATTCATAAATGTAAAACGTGTGTGTTTCCTTCTGTCTTCTTTGTATGTTCCTTTCCTCTGTTTCTTTTTTTTTTTTTTTTCTTTCTCGGGGGAGGGGGAGAATTTCACATACTTTCTTCTTTTTTTTTTCTTTCTTTCTCCTATTACGCAGAAGAAGTAATGTAATGGAATGGATAAAGAGGAGAGAAAAGAGGGTGATGGAACTATAAATCTAAATGCCCACTCCCCACGCTACCAGTACACAAGATGTAATCTATATTCTGTGTGTTTGTGCGTGCTGGGTGAGGTTCCATACATTCACTTTCTTCCTTCCTAATAATGTAGTAAAGAATAAAGACTAGTAATCAACAACAAAAACAGCAAGAACTTTTTACTGTTATTCCTAAAGCTCACGGTTCTGAATAAGTTCACAGAGAATATCCTTTGTGTATCGCAGACGTGCAGCGACTTCCTTTGAACGTGATGCCACAGACGCCAGCGACATGGTAACACGGTGACCAGCAGCATCTGTGTATGTCACTACACGTGACTCAGAACTGAGAATCACCTCTGCCTTGTCGTGGAAACAGACTTGAATGGTTTTGTTAGACAGACGGAATATCATTGCCTGTGGTGTTAGCAACCAACGCTTCACATATACAATATCTTCAATCATATGTGGATCGCTAAGAAGCGATGGTGTATGATTCATGTAGGGTGAGCATCGCACTACTTCCACTCCTTCTCGCACACTGCGAGCACGCGACAAGTATGATTTAAAATACTTGATCAGTGTAACCTTCTTATTAAGACTCTCAGGGAAGGACTCCATATGAAATGACTGTAGTTGATCTCTTGCATGTACAACATTGTTATTATTACTGCGCGTAACAACCTCCTTAACACGTGCGTAATACTCAACACGGCCTGTGATGGGTTCCCATACCATCTTTGTAGAGTCATTGAAGTGTACACCGGTGTGTCCAGTGCTTAGTCGGTAGCACAATCCATACTTGGCAGAAAAGTCAGCGAAGTCTGTAACCCACACAGAAGGAAGAGGAAAGGCTGAAGGTGAATCCTCATCTTCTTCTGCAGCTATTCCTGCTGCGTACAATGGTGGTTGCGTCTCGCGTACACGAGGTTCAGCCACTTCTAGGAGTGTTTGATGTAGATGATCGTGCAGTGCGGTAAGTTGATTCTTCTCTTCCTCATCCAGCTGATAATGTGGCACACGAGTAGCAGCCGCATTTTCTTCATTCTCCTCTACAGGCTGTGATGACATTTGTTGTTGTTGCGGCGGTGGTGGTGGTGGTGTTGGTGGTGATACCTGTGGTTGCGTACGCCCTTGTTGACGTGCTGTCTCTGCACGCGGTGTCGGTGTTACTGTGGAGGGTCCATTGATGTTATTATTGTTGGTACGCTGTGGATAGTAATAATTCTTATTACTGTTGGAAGGCACACCGGTGTGTAAAGCCATCTGCTGCGGGGACTCACTCTGCACCGGTTGGCGAGTTGATCCAATAGTGTTAGCACTGAGTGGACGTAGGACCTCACGCCGTGCCGGTGGGACAGTTGTAACAGGTGTACATCCAACCATTTCCATTCCCCTTAATTTCTGCAACTTTTGTTGTTGTAGTTCTTGTTCTTTTTGTTGTTGTTGTTGTTGTTCTTGTTGTTGTTCGCTGCTTCCCTGCATGCGGTGACGTGCGGAGGTGGGAAATAATGAGAGTGGTGCGGTAAGTGGTGGGACTGGACTACGAAAGAAGGGGTGACTGCGAATTTCAATGAGTGTCGGTCGGTGATCCGGACGGCTCTGTAGAATGCGGTGAATGAGTTCCTTCCCACTATCCGGTATATCCACACGCGGTGGAAACTCATATCGACATTGTTTGATGCGGCGATAAGTTGCCTTGACATCTGATGTCTGAAAAGGCGGCTCTCCAACGAGTAGTGTATAGAGAATAACACCTAGTGACCAAATATCCACTTCATAACTGTGACCTTCATGTGCACCGTCAATAATTTCAGGTGCAATGTAATTTGGAGTTCCACAAATAGTACGTTTTCGTTCGCCCTCATACTGTAACTCCGCAGCGAGACCAAAATCTCCAATCTTTACATTCATATCAGCATCCATCATCATATTTCCCAACTTTAGATCACGGTGAATTACAGACTGATCATGCATGTATTGAATAGCAGCAAGTGATTGTAACATAATATATTGAGTCTCTGGAACAGTGAATCGTGCTCGACGTTTAGAAATCTCCATTAAGGTCTGATTACTGCACTTCTCTAACAGTATGTATACATTCCAATCATCCTGAAAGGTGCGAATGAAGTTCACAATGTTCTTATGCTTCATGCGACGATGAATAGAAATCTCCGAATGTAACTTCTGCAGGGTCTTTGTCTTCTGCAAAATGGCGCGGTCAATCACCTTCAGTGCGTACGACTCCCCATCACGCTCCACATCGTAACACTTCGCAAAACCACCACGGCCCAATAGCCGGCCGCAGCGAAATGTTCCCACAATACGGCCGTGGCGATCGTACTCCCGCAGTGAACTTCCCTCGCGAAAGTCCGGCCGCTCACTGCGGGGTGTTGAGGGGAAACCCATGCGTGAGGTGCCGTAGCGTTGGGCCGGCATCACAGGCGGTTGTGGTTGTGTTCCAATCATTATAAATGCTGTTCACACCCGATATATATATATATATATATATATTCTTTCTTTTCTGATCTGTTCTGTTATGATCTTTTTCCTCTTTTTCACCACTCTGTACGTTTGGTCCGCAAACTTGAATGGTTGTTGGGAGTTGAGAAAGAGAGAGATGTGGTGTCGAACACAAAGGGGATGTTATCTCTAACCGTGAGGGAAGTAGTGCCGCGCGGTGTAAATAACAGGGATGCTGTTAGAATGAGAATTTGATTGTGTGAATCTCTATTGCAGATGATGACGCAGCAGCAATAGAAGCAATAGCGTCAACAGATGCAGGGAGATAGTAAATGGGTTTTTTTTTTTTTTATATTTATATAAAAAATAATAATGTATTTGTGCTTCTTAAAATGATAGCAATCTATCTATCTATCTATTAATTACCAGTACAGATGGATACTGGTACTGTAGTGTAGGTATATCGATGGTGATAATCCGTTCTCCCCTTTAAGTTTATTTCTTTTTTCTTTTTTTGTTTTGTTTTTTTTTTTTTTTTCTTTTTTTTTTCTTTTTTACTGTTGCCGCTTCTGTAGTTTTGTCTAGATTTATCCCTCTGCCTCTTTGTGTGAGTAATGTGTAAATATGTGATATAATGTAAGAAGCAGTAGAGGTAGAAATGGGTAGAAATAGCAACAACAATAAAAAAAAAAAAGATCTATCTAAGTCCCCACTTATATATAAATATATATATATATTCTTTTTTTATTTTTCTCTAAACACAAATAAACGCTTATCTATATATCTTTGTGTATGTGTGTAGGTGTGTAGGGGGGTGTGAACCAAAACTAAAAATGGTAGCCAAATAGAGAAAGAAAAGAAATAAATAAATAAATTTGTATATATATATATACTTCAAATATAGTAGTAAAAGCAACAACAACAACAACAACAAGAGGAAAACCATAATAAAAGTAGTATCAATAATAGTATTAATATAGTATTAGTAGTCTTCATAATAACATGTAAAGCATCCGATGGAGAATCACAATGAAAAAAAAAAGGAAAAGAAAAGAAAAAAAACATTTGCAACATATAAGAAAAACACACTCCAGGAGTTCTATGCTCTTCACTGCAACTAGTCTCATCCTCCACTCTATTCATTCTCTCCTTCACTCCATAATTAACACACATACAACTCCACACAAGAGAGAAACACGCACACAAAGAACAAACACAAAGACACATAACACCATCAACTCAGAAACATATAAATAAATAAATAGTTATTTATTTTACTTCAAAGACAGATATGCAGATGTACCTCAAAGGATAAACAAAGATCAACAAGAAGGGAAAGATGGAGAGAAGAGTAATAATAATAATAATAATAATAAATGAAAGAAACAAACGAAAAAGGAAAAAAAAAAAAAAATAGTTCAAAATAAGAGGTTCATTGGGTTCATCCACTATTTCTTGTCCTCGTTCATTCTCCAATTCTTACTTCTTCTTCCCCTCTTCTTCCTTCTTCTAATTTTTATCATCATCCGTCCATCCATATAACAGCAAAAGAAAACAAAAAAAAAAGAAAACAAAAAAAAAAGAAAACACGTCAATATACACACCTCAAACTGTTTTTTTTAAAACTCGTTACCTCTACGAACTTTGCGCCCTCCTGCTGGTACCGCACCGCCTACTGTTTGGACCGATCCACTACCATTGATCCACTCTACTGATGTTTTACCGGTCTGTGTGTGTGTATCATCTAACATTTCAGCATCAGCAGTATCACTAAAGTCTCCCATTTCCGCTCTCGTCTGTGGAGGGTGAATCAATTCCTCTGCAAATACAAATGTGTGATGCAGTCCACTCTTAACATTCGTCACATTTAAATTACTCAACAATGGTACAATGCGAAACTGATCACCTACTCTGCCATCATGGGACTTCATCATATCACTGTGAAGACTCCCACCCATACCACCACCACTACCACCGCCCCCATTGTTGTTGTTATTGTTGGTGTTGCCATTATTTCCAGTTGCTGTGCTGCAGCCCATACGTGCAGTCTCACCAAATGTAAAGACTTGTCCGTGTGGGGCTCTTGGACGTCCACTGTGGTCTAAACTGCAGCACGGGCGTCGGCACCACGACTGTGGACCCTGCATCACCACAACGGTGTGCTGTCGACCACAGGAGATGGCCTTGGCCACACCGCCAGCCACAAACTCAAGATTCACCACACGATAAGGTGATGTGATGCAGTCTATACTTTCCTTTGCCCCGCACTGTCCACTGGCATTGTCACCCCAGCAGTAGACGGCGCCACTGTCGGTAAGGGCTACTGTGTGAAAGGAGCCACAGGCGACATCCACTACACGTTTTCCAGTTAGGGCCCCACGCACCATACGAGGCACCAGCGCTGGCTCTTTATTCCCGTGCCCAAGGCGGCCTTGATAACCCACACCCCATGTGAAGAGTTCACCAGCGGCGTTAATCGCACCACTGTGCCACTGCCCCGCATGCACCCGCACGAGTTTGTGTTTTGTTTCCACACGCACCACCTGTGGGACAAGTACTACCGTGCGTTTCTCTGCACTGAGAGACTCGCCAATCACGCTGGGATCGCCTACTCTCGCCCGTACTTCCTCCAACGTGCCAAGGCCCAGACACTCCAGCAATCCCCAACTGTACAGTGTGCCGTCCTCGCCGAGTGCGAGACTGAAGAAACTACCGCAGCCGAGTTGCACAATGCGGCGTCCCTCGAGTGTGGCGACGAGTGTTGGTGTTTCCACCTTCCGCGTGGCGTGATCAAAGTGACTCGGGCCCAGACCGCTCTGTCCGTGATTGTTGTTTCCCCAAAAGTACACGTGATGATCGGCGGTGAGGGCCATCGCGTAGGCGTAGCCCGCCGCCACGTGCACCGCCGGATGCTGCTCAAACAACGGAATACGATGCGGTACGATCACAACAGCCGACTTGTCGTCGGGATGTTCATCCAGATCACGCTGACTGCCAAGGCCTAATTGGCCCCAGTCGCCATTACCAAAAGTGTAGATGTTGCCATCGTCTGTGAGAGTGCAACTGTAATTGGCGCCAAGTGCCACATCCACCACACGCACTCCAAACGGTGTGATGGGGGCTGGTGTGGGTACACTGCTGTTCTGGAAACACTGCGTGCCCAACTCACCAGAGGCACCGGATCCCCAACTGTAGAGAAGTTGTCGTCGTGAATGCCGCGCTGGGGTGAGTTGTCGCACGACACCCTGCAAGTTAAGATACTCCGCAACGGCCAACACACCCGCAGCGGGAACACCAGGAGGAATGACAAGCACACGGTGCCGCAGGTAATTCAGAATGGGCCGGAAATACACCGGATCAACATCTAACAGAATGGCACACTCAGAGTCCCTGTCAACAGGAGTCATCTGATCTAGTTCATTACTAATGAGGAGGGGAAGCAAACTATCACGATCGGCACAGAGTGTGGATATAGTGGTTGTAAAATATACCCCACCTACATTAAGTTTTACCCATTCTCGTCTACGTGGAAGAATGCTGTACTCAGAGGTCTTACTAACACGATCAATATTCGTCTCCTTGTTATTATGATTGGCGTCTATCCCACAAGCACGCTGATCTTCGAGATTGTTGGGATCTAAGTACATTTAAAACGTTTTTTTTTTCTTTTCTTTTTTTCTTTTGTCTGTTATTCCTATCCTTCTATTTGCAATTCCCCTTTATTTTCACGACTCACACGAATTATTCAAACTATCTACAAGAATAATTACGAATGTATATATACAATATAATATAATATAATATTATATATATATATATATATATATATATATATATATATATATATATNTATATATATATATATATATATATATATATATATGGCTGCCCCGCCAACCCCACAAATTCAGTCCCTTAAAAAGGAATCACCTTTAAAAAAGAAAAAAAGAAAAAAAGAAAAGAAAAAACACTACATACAATACCAGGTGAGACATAGTAGGAGTTGTAAAAGTAGAAAAGAAAGGGTGTGCAGAAGCACAGATAGAGAATCAAAGAGGAAAAAGCAAATATAATAAGAAGCTCACACATTCGCACACATACATACACACACGCGGTTGCAATACATACATATTGCATTGCACGGCAATGCAATAATTTAAAAGGGCGCTTGTACCAAAAAACTTTTGGTGCGTGTGTGTTTATCCCTTTCCAGCAATAGGGATAATAATAAAAATAATAATAAAAGAAGAAAAAAAAAGGAGAAAAAAAAAAACAGACCAACTTTCTTACGTTGTGACTCATTGACATGGGGGCCCTGGGAACCAGAAATACCAAAATAGCACAATAAAGCAAGAAAAAAAAAAAGAAAAAAAAAAAAGTAAAAAAAGTTCAAATTGCAAAAATGAGGTGTGATAACAAGAACTAAACACCAAAAATGCTTATGTCCGAGAATTCAGAGAGCGTGTAAAAAAAAAAAAAAAAAAAATGGATGCCTGCTCTCCCACAAAGAAAAAAACACATCCAACCGCTTCTTTCTTTTTTTATCGCTTAGCATAAGCAATATTTCGTAGAGACCAACAATACAAATAACATAAACATTACATATATAGATAGATAAATAAATATTACTGAATGCATTATTGGAAGCGCAAAAGAGAAGGGAAAAAAAGAATCAAAGGTTCCGTCTACAAAGGAGTGCAAAAACAAAATCAAAAACCCCAGTGTTGTAGTAGTAGTAAATAGTAGTAAAAACTACAGATTTCATGTATTCCTTTTCTTTTTTTTTTTTTTTACCTTTTAATATCCTGCTCCGTCACAACTTTGCACGCACGCACGCACATAAATACATATAGATATATATATATAGATATATAAATATATTTTTCTCCCTCTTTAACGTCTAGTTCAGTTTATGTACGGCAAAGGAATACAGCAATCAAGAAAAAAAAAAATCAAATTCATTCCCTCATGGCAAAGTACTACACATTCGTTCCCTTTCTTTCGTTGTTCTCGTCACTCACTTTACCTTATATTTTTTTTTTTTGGATTTGTGTGTCTGTACCATTTTCCTTTTTCCTTGTTGTTTGTTTGCTTTTTCCTTTTTTCTTTTTTTTAATTGATGTATACATTGGCAAACGAAAAAAAAAAAAGTACGAGGTGACTTATTCACCCCTTTCTACAAAATCCATTAAACTCAATACCCCCTCTCTCTTATTTCTACGGCGGATTCTTGATATGCGTCTCTCTCAAGTTCCTCCATATTTTCCCCATGCTGTTTCTCCAATTCCTTTATGTATTTTTGTTGTTTGTGATACTCGATGGCCTGCTCCAGCAGCTTCTGATACTCCTGTTCACTCGCATTATTCGCGCGTAGCATTTTCTCCTGCTCCCGCAGCAGTGTTGAGAATTTATCTTTGCTGGAGAGATGCCGTGCCCCACCCGGGCTGCTGCTTAACTGCGTGACGGCCTCGTCCTTTGCCTTTCCATCCTGCGGCAGTGTGAACTTCACTACCTTTATCCCTCCATTCAATGAGTGTGCAGAGGGCGAGCGCGGGGCGGCGTGAGGGAAGGTGTCGGAGTTGGGAGTGCCGCGAGGGCTAACGGAGCGGGCCGTGCGGAATTCAACACGAGCCGCAGGACTTCCCGGTGCTGCCGCTGGTGATGTGGATCCTGTTGCCTCTTGTAGTTCCTGCAGATACTTCTCGGCTTCTTGCAATAACTCCTCGTGTCGGGCGCGGCTCTGCACACTCATCTGTTCCATCCTCCGCTGCTCCTCTAACATCTCTTGCAGCCGTTGTTTACTGTTTTTCTGTGGAGTCTCCATCTTTGGTGGTGTGGCTGCTCTGTTCGGCTTGTTGATGATAACGTTGTTACCACTGTGGCTGGGAGGCTTGTTAGAGACTTTATTAGTGGTCAATGGTGACGTTCCACTACGCTTGCGCTCATTCACTGGTGGTAACTTTAACGCCTCACCATCGCCGTGGCTGCCTCGAGAGCTTCTTTCATTCTGAGACGTTTTAAGAGAAGTGGAGGATAAGAGAATGCTGGGTTGACGTGCCCCTTCACTATCACCGAGGTACGGTTGATGCTTTGGTTCCCGCAATGGTTGAGACTCCACTAGCTGCACACTGCTACTCTTGCGAGAACTGCTGCTTGTGGAACGTTCATTTGGAGCTGTGGGTTCCGGATTGTGAGTAGACAAACAAGACGCAGGGGTCGCTGCTGCAAATACCGGAGAGTATTCTGGTACCTTCCTCGTATTATCCTCCAAAACCACCACACTAGATGTGCGAGAGGATGGTCCCCCTTGCGAACCAGAAAATTGGGAATTTCTTGAATCACGACGTACATCTGGTGGATGAGGATATACAGGTTGTGATCTTTGTGATGGTTGGGATAGTTGGGATTGGGATGGTTTAGCGGATGTATCTGTACTATTCCTCCCCATGGGTGTCGTAAAGGGAACAGTAGCAGAAGGTCGTTTAGATCCATCAGATGGTCGCGCTGTTTCGTCAAGGGCTTCATTTTCTTGTTGTTGTTCAATATTATTCTTTTTCTCCAACCACGGTACACTTGCTGTTGTTACCGTTCTTGACTGCGTTGAGTACTCAGATTGCTCCTGGAATGTCCATGGTTTCATCAGTGGATCTCGTGGTTGATAGTCCAGAAGCGGTTGCCCAGGTTCGTCGCTTTTCTCTTGTATTGAAATGCTTACTCTGCTTCTCTGCACAGAAACGCCATTTTCGGTCGTTTGTGATTGTGGGAATATTTCAATATTGACCCGGGCGCTGTTGATACCTTTCGCCGCAAGTAACTCGCGAATGGAGTCTGCAAGTTCCTCTTTCGAGCAAGGCATATTTGGTTTCTCCTCTTTTCCTTGTGAGAGTCCTATAATAAATATATAGAAGTGAAGGAAAACAAGAAAGGAGGTAAGAAAGAAAAAAAAAAAAAAACACGATAAAAAATAAAAATCTTAAACTTTTCCTGGTACAGATTCCCCTTACATGAGTACCCACCAGATATATATATATGAGTTTATTGTTTAACTATCTTCTTACACTCTCATATTTTTGCTTCTTGAAGAAATAACTTGCACAATTACACCTACTATTGACTCTAAGAAAGGTAGACAGTCAGACCTCACTAACACTAATGCATATATATATATATCCAGACCCTTTTATAACCCTTATTTCCACCCACCCATATTCTTATTCTATTCCCCATTTTCCCAAATAATACTTGGTCCTTTTCTTTTCCGAGGCTATTTCTTAGCGGCAGCAGGTTCAGGTTTTGCGTCAATATCTCTACAGTAAGGTTTGGGAGGTTCCTTTATGAACAGTGATGTTCTACCTCCCGCCGGATCTGCACACTTACGATCTGGACGTTGTGGACCTACCTTGTACGGCCGTCCCTCACGCAGACATTCAATGAGTTGTTTCACCGCATCCCAGGTGAGATCCTCCACAAAGTCGTATGAGAAGTGTGGAGGACGACTGTAATCACTCACAACAAGCATTGGAGCATTCACACACGCCCCCAGACACTGCATCTCACCAAGTGTGATGAGACCATCCTTTGTTGTGCCGTGCATCTTGACATTCAGGTATGCCTCGGTGCGGTGCACAAGGTCATCGCAGCCGCACAGCATACACGGTGTGGTAACGCAGAACTGCACATGATATTTTCCCACCGGCTGCCGATTAAACATAGAGTAAAATGTGACGGTTTCAAACACCTGCATGGGCGGTACTTCGCAGATGCGGGCAATTTTATACATAGCGGTCACTGGGATATAACCGCCCTGCTGCCGCTGTGCGAGATGCAGGAGTGGAATCACCGCACTCTTTCGCCGGCTACGCGGGAACTTTGGGAGAATGACGTTATTGATCTCCTCGTAACTCGCGGTGGTGAAATCCCACGGAATGCGGGTGTTGTTCGTGTCGGTGTTGTGATGACGCACATCGCCGTGAATCTCACGCCGGGTGGTGCCTAACAGTGGGGCAACAACAGCAGATGCGGAAGGACCAAGTCGCCACATCTACAGCACTAAAATAATATAACTAATAATAATAATAAAGAAAAGCAGCGCAAAAAAAAAAAAAGAATACCCTAACGTTAGTGCTGCTGTCGTCTTGACTCTAAGCACCACTGTCTTATCGCTATATGGTTACCAAATAAAAAAAGAAAAAAAGGCAATATTAAGAAGAGTTAAACAGAAAAAGAAGAATTAATAAAAGATTCCAGACCTACCAGAGAATGAGAAGAAAAAAAAGAGGAAAACGCATACAGCAGCTGCTGTAGCTAATTACCTTCTATTCTTTCCCTCCTCCTCTGTTTTACAAACCACAGTTGATTTCCTTTCTTAAGATTGGCAATGGTGACAACAGGTAAAAAAAAAAAGGGCAAGAAAAAAAAAAGGGGGGGGAGTGCCGCAGAATCTAATAGGGCAAGAAAGTTGGAGAGTCGAACTTTATCTTCTTTCCTTTCTTTTCTTTCTTTATCTCTCTCTCTCTCTGTAAGTTTGTGTGCGTTACTCCCTTTATTTTTCTTGTATTGGTACACATAGATATATATATATATTTTTTTTTTCTTTTCTTAACCCATTAACCCAACTGCCGTTCATGCTGCAAAACCAAGAAAAAAGTAGTGGAAAAGTAGAAGGTGTTGAAGACTCTATCATTTGGTACAGTAGAAGCATTACAGTGAAATAAGAGGTTATTGTTGCTTTTTTTCTGTTTTTATGTGCAGCAGCAACAACAACAATAACATCATGATCAAATACAGCGAGGGCGGTATTCGCATTTTCTAACAGTTTCTCTTTCGTTTTTTTCTCCTTGTTCTTGCTGATGCTGTTGCTGTTGTTGCTGCTGCTATCTCTATGCCAACGGATTCCTCTCTGCGATACCCCTTTTTCACTATACTCGCTGGCCATAAGCCGACTTGATCTCTGCTTTTCATATACCATAGTTGTTTTTTTTTTTTTCTTTTTTTTTTCTTTTTTTGTTTTTTATTGTTCTTTTTTTTTCCTTTGGTGTAGCACTCTTTCCTTTTTTTTTTCTTTTCCTCTTTCCTCTTCTGATTTATCCTGCACGTTTTGATTTCTTGATAATCTTCTTCTCCAGACTCTTGTGAACGAACGGCAACACACCACCACGGGCGATGGTGGCATTTACTATCTGGTTCAGTTCCTCATCGCCGCGAATGGCCAGCAGCAGATGCCGTGGTTTAATGCGCTCAGTTTTGTGGGACTTTGCAGCGGCGCCGGCCAACTCAATCACTTCGGATGTTAAGTACTCCAACAGGGCGGCGCAGTAAATAGCGGCAGAGGCGCCACAGCGTTGTTTGCGGTTGAGTCCATCCTTCAGACGGGAGTGAATGCGGCCAACGGGGAAGTTGAGATCGGCCCGTGCGGCCCTCGACATCTTATCGCGTCTTCCCGCCTTCCCGCCGGTCTTGCCGCCGCGTTTTCCCTTTCCCTTTCCTTTTCCCTTCCCGCGAGCGCCGGCCGCCTTTCCGCCGTGTTTGCCGCCGGACGCGATGCTCGTCTGATCGGCCGTGCCGGAGACCGGCCCCATCATGGGGTTCTGCTGCAGGGGATCCTCGCCGGTGAGAGACATTTATTCTTTTTTTTTTTCTCTTCTCGCCTAGGGCGTTAAATGGAAAGTCCAGAATAAATAAATAAATAAATAATAATAAAAGGGGTTGGTTAGTGCGATGCCACGCGCTTCAACCAGTACTGCTTCCAGATTCTTCCGTAGGTGAGGGGAGTGGAAGGGTCCTTCTCCGTTGCTTCACCAAATGGCTTTCTATGAAAGGGGAAGAAAAAATAAAATAAAAAAAGAAGAAAAGAAAACAATTTCGTCTAGAAGAAACAGTGTATGAATCTCTCTCCCTATCTCTCACTTCTTATATTACTGATGAAGAAAAGAGAGAAATCATTCTCATAACATTTCAAAAACTCCAAAATAATACCTGGAAAAACGCCGCAGACAACTTGAAGGCAGAACCACACATGTAATGGCACCTTTTCTTTTTGTTTTTCTTCTTCTTCTTCGTTGTTACACTCCCTCTATTCCTGTTGCTGTTGTTTGGTACACTCCGCACACAGCAACTCATTAACACCAGCGGAAATGTCACATACATCAACTCCAGTCAGCAGTGCACAAGGATAGTGATACGCCTTGCGCTGACAACACCCACAGAGCAGTAAACACATACCACTATTGGCACAGAAAGAACATATCGTTATTGCTGTCGTGTTCACACCAGACAGTTCCTGTAATAGAGTGTTTGAAATCATCAAACGCAGAGCGGTGTCTTCATCCTTAATGTAGTCATGTAGCAAACACCACTCTAGACATCTCTGATGCATCATCAACAGTGATGTAGTAGTAGTAGTAGTAGTAGTAGTAGTAGTAGTAGATAAGTGATTTCCCTCCTCACGAGATCGCTTTCGCCGCCCAGAATCACTCTCCAGATCACATTCCTTAACTTCACCTATTTTTTCGCTAGTATCTGCAGACGTATTCGCTACTTGAGGTACATGTAAATCCCAGATGGGTCCCAAACAAGTACCTAGTGCTACTTCATTTAACTGACGTACACTTTCTCGGTTGCAAGAAGGGTCAGTGTTAAGCAACCGCCGTAAATAACGGTGCATCTGGGTACGATTCTTAATATCCAAACCACACAACACACAACATCCGCCATGCTCAGGAATTTTCTCGTTGTTGTTAAGATTATACCGAGAAACTGCTATGCACGATTGAACTTCATTCAAGGCGGGACTTACTGAGTGCACAAGCTGTGTCTCTGCACCATCCCACGTGAGTTCTTCTCCTGTTGTTAATCGATGTCGGAAAAGTGGGGTATGAAGTAATTGTGTGTTTGACATACTACCACCACGAGAAATATCTGGTGTGGTCCTCTCTCTATCATTATCCCCGCTTCTCGCAGAACGGGCAATATCAGCAGAAGCAGAAGAAGAAACTGAAGCTGTAGTGGATCTATTCTCCGTCATCTTGACAGTACTTGCTGCCTCTCCCAATTGCACTAACGGCGGTGGTGTACTATTACTCGTAGCCCTACTCGTAGTTGTCTGCTGTAAACGCAGTGTATGAGCCACATCTTGCACAAGTACAGTAAGGGCATCTAGTGTGGGAAGTGGTGTACTTGCCCGCTTACTGGGAACAGCATGATTACACAACGGACACTGTGGTCTCTCATCCACACAGCGCACTGCACATGATTTGCAAAACACATGGCCGCAAGGGAACGAAACAGGATGGCGAAAAAGATTGTAGCAGACAGAACAGACAAGATTCTTATGGGCAAGCTGCAGCAACGCAGAGACAGCCATCACGGTTATTTTTCTTTTTTTCTCTATTCTTTTCTTTTTGTAATGAAGACACTCAGCATCTGCCGTCACACACGGGACACTTCATGTAAGCCACACCAACCGTCTTTTTTTTTCGGTTCTTGGCTCTCTTTCTTTTCGCAAACCCGCAACATGAGAAGAAGAAAAAAAGGAAGAAAATAGAGGAAAAACACAAAAATACAGCCAAAGAAAGAGGGAAAGATAGATAGAGAGATAGAAAACAATAATAATAATAATAATAATAATAATAATAATAATATATAGAGAGAGAGAAAACAATTCCAAGGCTGAAAAGGTCACACTCCAAGAAATACACCTCTCGTTATAACCACAAAGGACGCACACATCCGCACGTTTGCATTGTGTCTTTGGTAAAGGTTATGGTACTTCACTTTTTGTTTTTCCCATCCTCTTAGATTTCACCTTCTCTTTCTCACGTGTGAGTTTCCCGACTCCGCCTTTAATCATATTTGTCTGTGAAGTCTTTATCGCTAAGTGTTTGCGCTGTCGCCGCTCCACACGATTCTTCTGCCGTTCCATATTGATCTGCCGTTTTACTTTAGACGCCATAGACTTAAATGCCGATCTTAACGTAGCAGCACCATTACCAGCATTAGCACTACTATTATTATTATTATTACTACTACTAGTACCAGCAGAAGAAGGAAGAGCGGGTTCCTCGCTTTGTTGGAATCGCACCATAAACAAATTGCTACTGCGAATAAAGACAGATCCCAAATAACGCCGGCGTGTTGCTGGACTCGCCGGGGGTGCGGGAATCCCTTTTGCCTGCAGCAGCGCACGTTCAATATCACACAATCGCTCACGACGACAGGTAGCCTCTGCGAGGTTTATGTTATAATCATCATCCAGCGAGATGAGTTTCCCTTCGTACACGTACCCTTGCCGCGTTTCAACTTCAACGCGGAACAGTACTGGTAAAGATGGCTGCTGTTGTTGCTGTTGTTGTTGTTGTTGTTGCATGAGAGCCTGCTGTATAGCCACAGCGGGCAGAGGACCCTGCCGCGGCGTTATCTGTGCAGACATTCTAAGCACACACACACACACCCTCTTGTACGGATCCCCACCCTTTACAAAAAGAAGAAAATAAGAGAGAGAATAGAATAGCCGGGTGAGCACACACACAGATATATATATATATATATATATATATATATATATATATAAAGAATAAAAAAAAGGATTCTTCTTTCAGCATACTCTTTTTTTTTCACGTTCTTCTTCATTTTTCTTTCCTTTCACTCGTCTTCTAGTAACCTCTTTCTTTTCTGTTTCTCTATGTTTATATATGTATAAAGGAAATAATATATTTACAGATGCAAGAAAAAAAAATGCATGGTATTAGCAATAACAAACTGAACTACTTCACCTTACATACAACAGTATATATAAATTAGATAGTGTGAGATATCCCCACAGGGCATCTACTAAGCGCCTTGAAATGGCGAATTGATAAGATAGCTCCAAAATGAACGGTGGTGATAGTGATAATAATGACACATACAGATGGAGCAAAGGAAAAATAAAAATTCAAAAAAAAAAGGCGCGTTCCTTTGAATGTCCAAACGGAAAAGAAGAAGCACAAATGAGATGGAAGCAAAAGCAATAACATACACCACAAAGAGAAAAAAGAAAAAGAAAGAAAGGGTTGTATAACGAGAAAAAAAAAAAGAAATAATAAGAAATAAAAAAAAAAAAAAGCGTCTACACGGTACCCTTTTGCGCGTACCCTTCTGTTGAAGGAGCAGCAACGTATGTGTTAGAACGCAAGTCCAGACAACATTGAAGCAGGGGATCGAATACAAATGGTCCAGTGAGATCCTCCACAAATTGTTTGGTGTCATCTACATCTTTCGGTGGCAATAACTTCTCAGATGAAGTAGTACTTACTGATTCTTCTCCAGTTCCTATTGCCGTCACTTTACTGTCCACATGCGTTAAAGATCCATTATCTTGCTGCATTAAAGTGATACCGCTATGATTAGATGAAGGGACAACTCGATTCGCACTTCCATCATATAATGATAGCACTGGTGGTATAGACAATTGCGAGGCACATCCCTGCGAGGCCGGTGAACGTGGCGGCAATGACGCAAAGCGGGTTGAATGAAAAGGATCACCCTCATCGCCAGTACGGGAACTACCCACACGAATGAACTGACCGCTGCCCATTACCGTCTTACCAGTCCCTGATGCCCTTCTGTAATCTATAGTGCCAACGCTACTCTCATCCTCTTCAACACCGCGACCCATACGCAAAGAATTAAGTGGCGTGTTACTTGCCGTTGTTGTTCGGCCTAAAAGTTCTTGCTCACCAGGCGTTTGCGGTTCAGTAGCGAGAGTTCTTACTTCAGAATAAGGTCTGTATTGTTGTTGTTGCTGCTGCTGCTGCTGGTGTTGGTATTGGTGTTCCTGTTCCTTTTGTTGTTGTTGTGATTGGGATTGTGGTAAGAATGCCTCTGTGTGTTCTCCCAGACGACCCCGGCGGGCTACAAACCTGGATACTTTTTCTTCTTCTTCCACTGGTGTAGCCGTATGAACAGTATTCACATGAACAGCAGCACCAAATGGTGGTGAGGGTGGAACGGATAACCGCAGACTGTCTTCATCCGCCCGTTGTGTGCCTCTGTGTGAGGACCACGGCATTGCGGGATCCACCGACACGGCATCAGAGAGTGTGGTGTCAAAGCAGAGACGGTCCACGGCGTGTGCGTGTGGGCGAGTTGGCGGCACGGGTGGTTTCTTGTCAAGTGCAGTGGCCTCTGTAGGGATCACAACAGCCGGTCGTTCCCGTTCCTCGGAGAGACAGACATTTACCGTAAACCCATCGTCATCCTCATCTTCGTCATCATCGTCATCTTGATGGATAACATCACTATTATTATTATTATTATTATTATTATTATTATTATTATTATTATTAGGGTTGATAATGCTTCTCTTGTTGTTATTGTTGTTGTCACGAGCCACGGCACAAGTATTAGCGAGTTCATTTGGCGAGGATCGCCGATCCTTAGGTGTAGTCGACATACATTGAGGCGTACATAAATCACGGTCAACAGGTTGTAGATGTGAATTAGGGAAACGAGGTGACGAACATAGACCCTGTTGTTGCTGTTGTGGTGGTGGTTGTTGAAGCTTCACATTTCCACCCTGTTGGGATAAAGCATAATCAGTAGACGGATATACACGTGACCTTCCGCTGCGATGAATCTCCTCATCTCTATTCCTACCACTATTACTACTACTATTGATGATGGTGTTATTTCTAACATCTCCATTCCTTCCAGAGATATTATTTTGAGGTAAACTTTGTGCCACATCACGACCACTCTTATACTCACTACTGTCACCTATTAGTGCTTGAATACGTTTAACGCGTTCACGCATCATATCCAATGTCTGATGGTAGCTAGCAAGAGTTGGTGTATGCGAATCTGATTCAAGAGAAACAGAATCTTCCACTATAAAAGGTTCTGATACTTTATTTGTCATCACCCTTTCTTTGTGTCCATTGTCAACATGTGATCGTCTCGCCGGCGTATTATGTTGTTGTGGTGTGGGACATGCTGATGTCACTTGTGCCACCGTCTCACTTTCCCCATTACAACTCTCTACACGAGGACAGGCCTCCTCCTCTATCATAATACACTCAATATCCGTTGCGCGTACGGAATCTCTATACTGTGGTTTCACTTGTCCTCTTTTGAGTGAGGAACGCATTCCATTAACACGTGGCTCTTCTAAGAGGGCTTTCGGTGTTTGTACTCCAACCGTCCTTGCTGTTTGTACTCCAACATGATGTTTGGCGGAGACGCAAGGAGACGGCACCGGTGATCTCTCCTCATGTAATCCCTTCAATCGTCTTGCGAGTGTGAAAGCACAACTTGCTTGTTCTTGCTGATATTGATGATTACTATGATGATGAGGATCATGATGATGATGATGTTGTTGTTGTTGTTGCATCGCAGTTATCCTAGGCCCATTTGGAGAGACGGTGAAGGAATCCCGCGTTGAGGTTCCCGCATTCAAGTAAATCTTTTCTTGTTCATACAACGACTGCCCCGTCACTCTTGCAACTCCATCCGAATATCCCGATGTACTTTCAGAAACAGCAGAAGAGAATGGAGCGGTTGAAACGCCAGCCGTCTTCACTGTACGTGTACTTTGCACAGCAGAAGGAGGACGTGAGGCCGGGCGGCGGTTCACCTGTCGAACTTCAAAGGAAGAAGAAAAAGTCTCCGCTGGTTGGATCTCCGTCTGTGCAGTTACCAATGGAAATTGCAGGAACTCCTCTTGGCCAGTGCGAATAACAAAATAACTCACTGGCACCTCCTCCGGTAATCGCAGTGAAACTGGCCACTCTGCCGCTTCTACGGATGTTGACATGATGTCTGATTCTATTAACATAGGCGGCAGCTGCGGCATACCAAGAACACGCCGCACACGACAAATACAACTAGAACTAAGAGTCACAGAAAGTAAACGACGAGAGTCGCTCAGTTCTGCAACAGACAATCGTCCCCCGGTCTCACCATACAAAAAAGCATGGATGTGGGGTACATCTAAAATAAGGTTTAACCACATCCCTGGTAAAACACATCGTAATGGAACTTTTACATGTTGTGCACATCGCTGGAATTTATGGAAATTACTACTAAATATGATACGACGTCTACCCATTTTATCTTGTAATAATAACTCAATCGTGAGAGAAAACGCCGCCCGCACGGATTCCTCACAGAAAAGCTGTAGAACTATGACTCGTTGCGACCCTGCTGTCAAACCACTATTATTGTTTTTTTTGTTATTGGCACCACTACTACTACTAATACTCCCACTGCCTGTACGAGTCGGTGCACTACGCAAGAATGATACATGTGTAGAAGGTGTGATCTGAAGTAACTGTGACCTTGTGGCCTTATCGTAGTATCGGCCAACATTACCACCCTCAACGACTATGCCCTCCAGTGGTTTTGAGCCTTGTGGACTGTAGAGAATATAAGAAGGAACACTATCTTCTTTTGGACTTTTGAGAAAAGATGACGAGTTCATTTTTATTTATTTCTTTTTTTTTTTTTTCCTTCTCTTCGTCTTTTTGTTACTTTTCGTTTATTTCCCCTTTTTATTTGATATTTTTTTTTTTTTTCGCCCCTACCACCCTCTTCTTCTGGTTTCTGTGGTTTGCAGAATGTAAGGGACACCACTAGCTTCTGGACCACTATAATATCAATACCATACAAAAAAGAAAACAAAAAGAATAAAATAGAAGATGCAAAAAAAAATAATAATGTGATTCCAGGAATAAAGCGGCAAACGCAAAACAGTGAGTATTTTAATTTGACCCATGACGCATTGAATTAGGCCACAAACAAGACATCTGTAAACACATGTGTGAAACGAAAGAAAAAAAAATATAGAAATACACACACACATATATATATATATATATATATATATATGAGAAAGAGAGAAAGAAAAAAAATAATAAATGTGTCTGCACATCTATCGCAAAAATGTATCTCTGTAATGTAATGATCATTGCATGTGAGGTAAAATAAAATAATAATAATAATAAAATCAAACGAATATTCAAGAAAAGAAATGTGGATATGCCGCCTGCAGCTCCTGAATGAGTTGGCTTCTTGACCGCCTCCGCGGCGGCTCACCAGTTAACTTATCTCTCCCCATCTCTGCAAATCCCATCGTCAAATTGTGTGGACCTGGTCTTTCAAAGTCACTAACCCCACCATTATTAACACTATTAACATTATTACCAACTGCAGCTGCTGATGTTTCTCCCTCATCAATGGCATTTGCCCCTTCTTCTGTATCACTGCAGCAAGTTGCGTATGGCAGTAGATGCAAGTGTACCACATCTTCAATCTGCACAACGTATCGTTCCAGTTTCAGCTCTGTACCAGTCTGCCATGCTGCTCCATTCTCCGCTGCCTGCATCATCGCGAATACAGCATTGGGGCGAAGGCCTGTTCCTGAGGCCACACACACCGACTTTCGAGTAGTGTCTTCCACCAGTGTGGCTCTGTTGAACCCAACATAAAGCCGTCCACTCATCCACCGCCGCCGCCGAACACTGCCGCTGGTAGGCGCGAAGAGCACAATGAATACAGACGCATCCCCCATCGTACGTCTAGTATCCATTATGTACTTCCGTCTTGCGTCTTTTTTTTCTTTTTTTTTTTTCTTTGGTTATTCCTCTCACAGAGGATAAATAATAATAAAAAAGAGCCAAGACTTTTTTTTTTTTATGATAATAATAATAATAATAAAAATAAGGATAAGTGCAATAGTTGATAGTAAAAAGCAAAGAAAAAATATATATATATATATATATATATATATATATGAACAACAAGAGATGGGGTTAGAGGGATAAGAGAGATACAACAGTATATCTATGCGTGCCACAAGAGTGTATATAGCTTATCATCATTACCCTCATTATCCGTACGATCAATCTATCATCACTAAAAGAGTGTAAGCGAAAGAAATAGACTAGGAGGATGAGATACCAAAGAGTTCTTTTTTTTTTTTTTTATACTGCACATGACTGAATCATAGTAGCCCAAAGTGGTTCTATTATCCTTTTTATATTGTTCTCCAGACCCAACAAAGCCTGATCCGTACTGTCTGCACTGTAGACAGAAAGCACAATAGGCACTCGTGTATTTTTTGATCTTCCTGGGAGCCAAATACCTATTTCTGCTACTGATTTTACACCTGTAGAAGCCTGTCGAACGACTACACGGCATTGACATCCAAGTGTTAATTCAACACATGACTCCAATCGCCGTTTCACGTTAAGACGACCACAGTGTTGTTCATCCTCATTTAATCTTTGTAATAGTTTGAGAACTTGACGAAGTTCACGTCTCGTATGATGATCTGTATATTTTCCAATGGCTTCTGCAAGTAACCGGGTCGATGCAAAAAGTAATTGTTCCCCCGATTGTCCATTCTCGTTAATAGACCCAATGAGACCGCTATAACCACGAATACGTCCCTCATGCAAGAAAAACAAAGATGTATCCACTGCACGATTATCAATAGGAGTCCATGTGCGAACTACAAGCTGCACTTGCATGCTTCGCTCACTATCAGGAATTTTATCATATTCTCTACCACCTTCAAATCTCAGAAAAACTTTACCAGCAAAAGCGACACCTAATGCCCCACAGCAAGCATGCCATACGCTCTTACCGTAGTTAACAGTAGGATCCCACTGGGTAAAAGCAACACTACCTGTACCTTCTTCCTCATATTGCACCTTTGGTTTCTTTATAAGATCCAGTAACGCATCAGCAGCACCAATGTAGGCTTCTACTGCAGAATAAGCATGATACACAACAAGGCTTTTCGTTACTGCATCATTTAGATTCTTATCGTCATCTGTTGTCGTTTTCCTAGGAACCACAGTACAATAAAAACCATCATCACTACCAACATTGTCAAGACTCGAATTCTGTTTTACCATAATTGTAAAACCTTCATGACAATTTAAACCTGCCAATATATCAGGACGACGCAATAGTTCACAGATACCTTTGTGTCGTTCTACCTGACGGAGAACATCTGGAAAGTTCGTCTGCAATGCATTCAAAGCTGCTGCATTCCATGCAGTCTTATTATTCCATCCACGACCAACACCAAGTGGAAATGAGACAGACTCGGATGCAGCGTTTTTGTGACCTGCCAGTGCTACCACGTACAGCAGACAAACAACTTCGCGAGTGTGAGTGTCTACGGTGTATTGGCAATAGTACTTACTTGACACTCCTTGCAAAACTTCACCTAACAGGTTTGCAGGAGTGTAGAAACGTGAAGAGTAGAGAGGAAAATCATCACGTGGAAACAATAGTGTGGCATTTGCAGCAGAACGTAACTTTGCCTCTGTTAATGTATCTCCCTCAGAAGTAATAGTACTTGTAGTAATAGTAGTGCTACCAGTTCCCATGGAGAGACTTCCAGCGTATCGCAATGCCTTTCGACAGGCAAGTATAAGAGATGGAATTATACCACGCTCCTTTGTAACAGCACTGGGAAATCGAATCTTATGAGATAGTACTTGAACTTCAATGATTCCCTCTACAGATGAAGATAATGTCAAGTTCTCTACACCTACAAAACATACACGGGCTTGTGAGTGAGTTACATCCTCTAATCCTCCCAAAAGCATAGACACTTCTGATTCAAAATCCCAATTTGGGGATTTGAAGCCACGAGTGTTTCGTCGTACTTGAGGTCGAAATGAAAAAGAGTCCTGCGAAGGAATGTTAAGTGAAACTGCAAGTTTATTCACACGTATGATGGCATCTCGTACGGTAGATGCATGTGTTTCAGCAAAAAGAACTCGTTGTCCACAAAAGTCATAAAAGAGCATTGCACGTATAATGTAGTTATCAACAGAATTCAATAAAATTTTCTCCGCAACCTCTGGAGAACCACGTGTTTTGGCCTCTTCAACTGCTTTTAATCGCGCCGCACGTGTGTCGATTTCAAAACAACGAATCTGTGGTGAAGCCATAAACCATGAATACAAGAGGAAATCAATCGCACGGCGTTTATTAGGTAAATTAAGGGGAATTAGTGGAAAAGAGGTACGGTTTGGAAACACACGATTATACAACCTACACACAACAGTCAAAAGGACTCGTAATGGTCCTTTCAAATGTTGTGACTCTGGTATCTGACTATTATCAAGATCAAAGAATCCACATACATTATCCACATTCTTTGGGTCACATTCTGCTTCTACACGGAGATTAGGGCCCCAGTGTGCCACCACACGGGTATAAACAGGTACATCACCGTAATGACCCATGGCGAGTTCCTGCAGCCGTTGTGGGACGTTGTGTGTGGCCCTCTGAAAGAACTCTAATGTGGGAAAAGATTTCTGTGATAAGTGTAGTTTTTGCCGCATTTCCTGAATCATAAGAACAATATCAGGACAGTAATAAGATGATTGTTCCTTCTCCCGTTCTTGTGCAGCATACAATACAGATCGCTGTGGGTTAATACTCGTTTCATCCTCTATTACTGATAATGTTTGTGATGGCATTTCATAAAAGAGAGATTTACATGATTCTTGTATTTCTCCTAAAATGTGACACAGCGGTAGTTCCTTTACACCTAATGAAGTGGATGTGAGTGTTAGCATATTGGGAAGACTCCCTCCAGTAGATGATAACTCCATCACCTGTGCGTCTGTAGAAAAGAGTTGACCTAGGCAACTAATGAATTGTTTTCCCTCTTTTTCATGATCCTTATTGTATAATAAGGCAGGTGGAGACCATGTAAAAATCTCCTGATAAAATCGGTTATTATTTGTAACCGTTAAAGAAGCTTTAGCGAGACGATTCCAAATATTTACCAGCAAAACTTGCTTAATATTATCATTTCCCCGATGATGACCATCTCCTCTCCGCTGTAGCGGTGTCTTGTTCGCTAGAGATACCACATGGTCAACGAAATTAAAGTAGGTTTTAGAAGTTATATTATCTTTTGATTGAATTAATTTAAGTTTTGCACTAAAATCCTGTATCGATCCTTTCACTTTAGATGATACAAACTCCAGGTTTATGAGAGGTATATCTCTTTCAACAGTACCTTCACTTTCAGCCAATTTCACGCAGTGAGAAGCAACAAGGCTATTAAGAAGAAATAAACCCCTCTCAACTGAGTGTGACACAAATATTGGTAAAAAGTTATGTATATCATAAAAATTCCGAATAAATGGAAAAGAAATACCTTGTAGAGACGCTACATCTGATATTATAGGTCTATGTTTGTCACTAACAGTTATACATGCATTCAAGAGAGCACAAAGCTGTATAAGGACTGTACTAGCAACATAGTAGTCTGGCCAAAGGAGTCCTGATCCATAATTCAATCGCATACTACCATTATCATTTCTTACTACGATACGTTGAAATGCCAACGGAGGCAAAAAGAGTGGAAGTGGTAATTCCATATTATTATCAACAGCATCTACAACATTAACAGTAAGCGTACTAGACTTCTTATCTTTTGATACTTCTACTTTTACAGCATTCGTCTCCGTAAAAAGTGGTTGCCACCATTTTTCTTCCATACTGTTACTAAGTGAACTGGAGAGAAAAGCGGATAAAATAGTACCTCCTCGATCCTGACGGTATGCGTCGCGATGAACACTTTGCAAAAAGCAACATGCTTCACTTTCCCTACAACGAAGTTCATTCACTGCATGCACATCTAGTTCTGCTAATGCCAACGCAAATCCCATTTTAATGGCATCACGCGGACATATCCCACTACCACGAGATATAGCAACACCACTCCTTATACCATCCTCCATCCTACTTTCCGGTATCTCAGTATCCTCACTATCTGTTAACGGTATTTCAGCTGTCACTGTAGCTAAGAATTTCAATGACTCTGAGGTTTCCGTTGTATTAACCCCAACATCCTCAGGTTTACGTAGGAGGTGCACTACAGCTTTAGCGTCCATACTACGAAGTGTTGAATTAAGTTCAGTAAACACATTGGAGTCTACTGCTTGTAGCATATGACGCAGATCTGATGTGGTATTTAATAACGATAAAGCCACTCCATGCACCCGCTCAACTGCCTCTCTAGGACTTTCTGCAATAGCAGAAGCTAGACGAAGTGTACACAACTCACTGAGAGAATAGTATACAGTACTTTCGAAATGTCGGTTGTTAATACGAGTAGTTCGAACATCTGCAGCAACAAAAATACCAGCAAAACGTGCGGCCAAATGACGACTTTGGGCGGCAATTAGCTTTAGTTGACGATTTTTGGCAATTTTGGCCCCCAATGGAACTGGCGAAGACATTTAAAAAGAATGGATTATGTGGCTATTATTGTATTTTTTTGTTTTTGTTTTTCTTGTTTTTTGTTGTTTCGTTTCGTTTTAAAGGGCTCCTTCTTTCCCGTTACCGAGTCTTTGCCAGGTGTACAGAAATCCAGGAGCGGCTTTTTCCTCTTCCTATTTCTTTCTTTTTTTAAGTTTACAGAAGCCATCAAGGAAGAAGAAAATGATACGATAGAGTAAAGGAATGGGTGATACTGGAAACCAATAAATAAATAAACAACTGATATAAAAAAAAAAAGGGAGTACCTTAATGAGAGAACCCTGCGTTCTCTCTGGTAAATTGCGTTGCATAGTCCTGCACATTGAACTGGCACTGGTAAAAAAGATTTACTACTTTTTTTTGGCAGGAAAATAATAAAGAAAAAAAAGTTTGGGGTTGATGAAGAAAGAAAAAATTTATCTATATGGCTGACATAAATTCCTATTGTATTTCCTTTCTTTTTCTCTCTTGTTTTCAATATTCACATTTCTTTGTTTTGTCACAGAGCATAAATATAAATAAGCTGTTCTTTTTTTTTTTTTTTTGTACTTTTTTTTTTGAGTTTGTCACGATTGCATTAGAGTATTTCTGGCATTTACTAGCCACACTGTGTGAGCATAATCTTGGCGATACCCAAATCCAACTCCAGTTCGTCTTCCTTCGGGTAGTACTGCACACTGAGAGTCAGTTTATTCTGCACCAGCAGTTTCCCAAGGCAGTCATTGGGATTGTTTGAATCTGGAACTTCCATCTTATTTGTTTTTTCATCATACTTATACCTTTCATTTTTGCAATTATAGTCATCACCAAAAACAGTGAGAGCGATATCAAAGGTGTTCGGTAAACTGCCAAGACTGATACGTCCAGTCACCAAACCGTAGGAGTAATTCCCGCAGTAGGCGCCGTCTGGAACTCGACCCACCACAATAGCTCCATTTACGGTTTGAAGAAAAAGAAGAAGAATCAACACTGCAGTAAAGAACTTGCGTGCCATTCTCTTGTGATTCGTAAAAGGGGTACGACCAAAGATCTGTGTTTGTGTTTTCAGTGTGTACGTTTACTTGTGTAACTGAAGAAAACCTCTCTTTTAAATTAAAGAAGCGAAAAAAAAAATAAGGGGGAAAAAAAATTTAATACAACAACAAGATTCCAAATGTGTTTTAAAACGGAAAAGAGAAAATGAGAAATCCTTCCTTTTTTTTTTTCTTTCTTTCTTATTTTACACTCTATTTATCGGTAAATATGTATATGGATGCTTCTCCTTCCTTGCACACCCATGCACAAAATCAAACTCCAAAGAAAGCATCTTCCATGGTGTGAACCTTTTCCACAAGTGCGCTGTAATCATGCAGCGCCCCCAGGAAGTAATTTGCTGATGAAGGACTACTATATTCTTCTTGTATATCATCCCAGGAAATAAGAGGTCGTAAAGAAGGTTTATGCCGCAATAGCAATGCATCCATAAGTCGTCCGTACTGAAGTGCAATTCGTCTACTTTCATTCAAAATACGTTCAATAAGTAATTCATGAATAACTTCATCGTTATCATGCATTTCGCTAAGTAAAGAAAACAATCCAGGGGTTTGGTCATACGTATTGTCTGCTAAATCAGCTGTGAGTTTAGAGAACTTTTTTTCTCTCATCGATCCCACTTCATTCTGCTCTCGTAGTTCAGCTTCTATTTTTTCTACTACATAACACAATCGTCTCACAAGCTTACAGGATATTTTGCCTAATTCATTCAACTCTTCTAAAGGAGAAGAATAATTCTTTACCAGAAAAGATGGAAAGAGATCTACGGTACAAGCTTGAATACGACGTGACGAAGAATGAGCAGCAGATTCCACCACAAGGCGCTTTACTTTGTAAATATGTTCTACAAAATTAAAGGTTTCTCCATTCTGGGTACTATAGGGAGAATACAGTTCATTCTCTTCAAAATCACCAGGAAACTCTTCCACTAATATATCATCAATATCTGGTTCATCATCATTCTTCACATGATTTCTCATATGCAATGGAGAAGAATTATCATATTCAAGAGAAGTCTCTATTCCAGATAAAGGAACTGCTCCCTTTCCATGACTTACCTTGAAGTTTAATGGTAATGATTTATTTTTTAATCTACGTTTAACCTCTGTATCTACACTATGAAGAATATCGTTTAAGTAAAATGATATTGGGGGGTATCCAATACCGTCTGTACGCATCGATACCGAAACGGTGTCATTTGATTTACCATCAAATAAACAAATACTGTTAACAAAGTCATAAATCATCCTTTTAACATTGGGAGGAGCAGAGGTAGGTACATAATAGTTCGGACGAACTCTTCTGACGATGCGCCCAAGATTTTCCCTGACATCAGTATTACTAAGGCTAGATATAAGAGGTACTACAAAAGGTGGATTTAAGCATCCACATATGCTTTTTATTTCTTCACGTTCCCTCTGCGTAAGCTCATCAAGAACAATAGAACCGATTGGAAGAGGTGGTGAACCTTCTTTTACGGTAAAATATAGACAACTATTTTCACATACAACCCTATCAGATTGCATAAGTTTTCCCACCTCTTCACGGAGAGAATTTAATTTTTCAAGTAATACCCATGCATCAACCACTACATACCTACAAACAGAATTTTTCATTTCTAACCCTTTTAGATGTTCATCATAAGAAAAAATGTTATTTAAAGCTTGTTTGTAAGTTTTATCCTTATCTTTTGAAATGTCAGTATTGTCATCAATAATTTTATTTGAGTTGGGTGGTACAATGGAAGCTAAACCAATGGACGAAGATTCAGATCCTCTTTTGCTTTCTTTTTTAGACCCTTTAAGAAGATTAGCACTTACTCTCCCCTCTTGCTGAGATTTTAGATCGGCAAGTTGTTGCTGCAAGCTTTCAATCTCATCAGATAAAGCTTTTTCTCTTTGTAGTAATTTAATAATAAGTTCATCTTTTTCTCGTAATTCTAAGAAATTTTCTTGGCTTTCCCTGCAATCTCTCAATAAATTATCGTCACTCTGAAGTATGCTAATATCACCACTTTCCTTATAGCTGATCCATGTCTTGCTACAAACCACTTGTGAAACAGTCTCCATCATATTTAAAGCATCATTTTTACCTCTACCCAAGTTACAGTGCATCTCTAATTCAAATGATGATGGATTCCAAACGTAAATTTGCCCTTCTGATACAGACCAAACTTTCAATCCTACGGATTTCAAACTTGTCACAGAACCTTCATGTGGATTTGTAATCATGTGAACACATTCTGGAGCTTCACTATGTATATTACACAAATTCCATATACACACAGTTCCATCAGCAGCGCCACTCCAAAGTTGAGAACGAAAAACTAGAAGAGTTAGTACTGGGGCAGAGTGAACTTCTAAAACGTGTTCGCGTTCTTTAGTGGTAGTATTCCATTGAATTATTCGAGAGTCATCACCACCAGAGAAAAGTTTATCATTAAAAAGTGCAAGAGATCGTACTGCGTTATTACAGCGACCCAATAATCCATCTTTATCATTCCCAAAATTATTTGTATTCCAATAACGTATATTAGAGTCAATCGAAGAAGAATATACAAGATGAGAATTAGGGTCCGTAACAATATCTGTAATATTATCTTTGTGCGTGTGTGTCTCATTAACTAGTTCCCTAGATATTGCATGGTAAACTCGTAAAACACCATCAGCATATCCAACCCATACATATCCCCTGGTAGCACGCATTACAGTTATAGGTACATCTCTTGGTTTTGAGAGAACACTTATGAGACTACCTGTACATTCGTCTAGAACAGTCACTTTGCCTGATGTCTCACCGATCCATACAGTTAAGTCTACAGAACACAAACAACTAATATCACCATTCAATTGAAAATGATTGGTTTTCTTTATAAATAAATCTCGCTTTCCATACATAGTTTTCATGGTATCCATGGTGATATATGGTGCTCTTGCCTCAAGTACAACTGCCTTTTCTTCCATAATGGAAATTGGGAGTCACCCTCTGAGATCAATATCACTTTTTTATATGGAAGGAGAACAAAAAAAAAAATAGAACATATTTACCAAAAATACTTATTACATTAAAAACAGAGACTTCCTCCGAAGAATAACGCAATTAAATGTTTATCATAACAAGATCGAAAGAAAAATAAGAAAAAAAAAACAAGCGCATGATACAACCACTTATTTCTTTTCTCCCTTTTGTCATCGTTGTACATAAATAGGGAAACCAAAATTATAAAAGTGACGGTAAAGAGACAAAGAAAACAGGAATTGAAGAATCTTCAATTTGACAAGATGTGTCTGTTTACACCAACAGATAGATACGATAGCTTGGAGAAAAAAAAAACAACACCTCTCAAACTGCCACGCCAAACAAGAGAACGAAACATTATATCGTACTCTTATAAACTGAAGTGAAAGAAAGGTTTGCATCTCATTCCCTTTTTTTTTTTGAGTCAACTAGCTGTTACCTGAGCAGAATTGTGTGCCCGCTCGTTTTCTTTTTTTTTCTTGCCCAATAACATTCATTTCAAACAATAACTTAGTGAACAACATTTTCCCCATTTTCGACTCCAACAACATTAGATCGTCAAATAAACATCAGAGAAAATTCTGGAGGTATTTCCATACTTTTTTTCAGAGAGAGGATCAATTATAGTGTATCAAAAAAAAAAAAAAAAGAACAAACATTTTCGAAGACACGCGTACTTACTTGAGAGGGAGGCAGTTCAAGAACTGATTAAGATTATCCACGCCTCCCACCCTGTGCCCAGCAACAAAACAAAAAAAAAGATGGAAACGACCCTATAAAGGAAATACTCCAAGAGGTCGATAACTACAGAAAAGAAAAAGAAAAAAGCAAAATAAAATATATCCTTGGTAATCTTCCCAATCATGGGGAACGCACAGAATAAGAGAAAAATGTGAGTTTTTTCTCCATAAAGCTAATATACTAACAATCTTCAAGAAACTTTCCCACTCAATAAAGGAGCAAAGAGAATGATTATGTCAAAGAGAGGCGATACCGATTTATTCTCTTTATTCTGCTTTAAATATAGGCTCATTAATATTTACCAAGAAAGCATAAAGGTAGTCGCTCTCCCTTGTTTGTATTGAGATAAGCAGTACAGAGTTCAGTTTCTGCTAGTCGTAATGCACAGGAAGAGATTTTTGGTTCTTTATTAATACATTCATCGTGCGATGGTGACATCAATGGTAAAAAATCCTGCTTTTTCATAATTTGTAATCGTAATAATGTATTTCCGTTTTTTTGAATTGCTTCATCCAAAAAATCCAAAGTAATGGACTTGGTAACCTCCACCTCTGCTGTATTTAGGGTTGTAGAGACCAAAGAATTATTTTCCTCTGTCTGAGTAGATTTACTATCTTTATACTCCTTACCCTTTTCCTCACCTTTAGGCCACGGCAGATGAGGTTCTGAGTAATTAGATATTTCTGAAGGTGTTCGTACATGTAACTTTTCATTCTCATACAGAGGTTTAACCATATAATTGGTGACATATCTCTCCGACTTTAGTATAATGGGGCGTGGCCCCCCACAAATACCCTTCCGCACCAACGACATTCATCAAGTCACTTTTTCAAGAAATGTGAAACCGAAACAAAAAAAAAGAAAAAAAAACATAAACAAACGCAATACGATAATAAGAAAAATAATTAATTCAAAAATAAAACCACGCACAACATTAAAAAAACAAAAAAACCGTTTCAACAGCGGCACACCGCGACGCGGCCAACCCCCGCGCCGCCGCCAAAAGAGCAAACAAAAAAAAAAAAAAAAACACCCGCGGAGACGAAGACACGCGACCCCCAAAGAAACCTAGCCCCCCAAGAACGCGGGCCCGGAACCCCGAAAAAGCAATAAAAAAGAGGGCAACGAGGCGGGGGTTGGGGGACGCCCGGCCGCCGCCGTCTAAATCGGCTTTGGCTCCGGAGGGGCGGGTGTGTTTTTTCTTCTGGACTTTTGGGCCCGCTTCCCCCCGAACCCGAGGACGCGGGCAGAGGATCTTTTCGCCCCGGCGGCCCTCCCAGGGCAAAATAGCGGGATTGATTGGGTTTTAGGGCGGTGGTTGTTTCTTTCTTTTATTATTATTTTTTTTAATGGATACCTGATTTGTTGTTGTTGTTGTTTTTTTTTTTTTTCCCCTTTGATTCTCCCCATCTTGTGCTTTTTCTTTTCTTTTTTTTTCTTCTTCTTAACATAGCACCCTTTAGAAGGGCGGCTGTGTGAACATCAGGTTTTGGTTTTTTTTTTTTTTTTTTTATTTTTCTCTTACCAAAGGAAAAATAAAATATTTTTCAAAATGTCTGATGCCGCTATTTACGATGAAGAACTAAAGAGTCTTGAAGAACAAGTGAGAAATCTTCTTCGTGCATTGGACTCGGCAACAAATACCGATGTAAAGCTTGAAAAATACAACAAAGCTCAAGATTACATGAAAAGATTGCACAAAACACATCATCAGTTTAAGGTTGAGGTACGGCTTCTGGATGGTAATGAGCAAGAAGTTTACGAAAAACGTAGTCAAATGCACCTTCGCACCATTAATCAATTAAAAGAAGAACTTCAGTCAAAAAGGATAGAAAATATTTCACTCAGTGCACCTAACCTAAACTCCGGCTGGTCTTCAGGCTTAGAGAAAAATGATGGAAAAGATGAGGCTAGAGCTGCAGCTGCGCGTATAAATACCATTCAAGGTTCTACACTGGAGTCACTAGCCATGACGGAGCGATTACTAAATGAAACAGAGACAGTGGGAACGGGAGCTGCCACAACACTTCGAGTCCAGACGGAACAGATACAGCGAGTAAATGACAATTTGGATGAACTGGACTCTGATGTTAATCGAGCGAAAAAAGAACTTAATGCTTTTATTCGACGTATGATGACTGACAAGATTATAATTTGTTTCTCAATCCTCATAGTGATTGGTATTATCGTTATCATTGTACTGAAAGTAGTAAAGAAAAAGTGACGCATAGCAGTGCAGTTTTCTTCTCTACATGTGCTTACGTTAAAACAAAAAAAAAAGAGGAAGGGTAAATGAAGTTATTGGATGCAGGGGGATTTGACTTCTTTTTCTTTCTTTTTTTTTTTGCTTTTCTGACGTGGTTATTTAATGGTTATTTTTATTTTTATTTTATTTTTTCTTGTTAGTACAGAGAGGTACAGAATGGGGCAGGCATCTTCATTTGCTCTAAAGTCTGTTGAAAGAGCTTGCCGACGTCATGTTGAACACAAGGATCAGGGAAATTGTCATCCAGATCAGGAATCTGATATTAAGGAAATTGAACCTTTCTCATCCCCCCAGTCATTGGTATCAATGGACTCCTTTCTTTTCACTATCAATGATTTGCGTGAGATGACGTCCTTCTTACCAGAATCTCTTTCTAATGTGGATCTGCATCATTTACCACTTTTATTTGTATTGGATAATGATAAAGATGGACTTTTCTCCTATGATGATTTGCAACAGTTTATTGCTTGGTCAATGGAGGCAGTTCCAAAAGAAATATCCATAGATGATCTGATGGATGTACTGAGGGGTCGAGCGGTCCTACGTTGTTGGTATGTGTGCTGCATGGAATCTCAGAAAGGAGGGGATGGAATTAAGGAAGGTATTGTATTAGGAAAGGATGAGAATGTAGATACTCTAGAGTCTCGAGAGTATTTTACACATTGGGTACTAAAGTTGCTCCATACTATTGATAATGACACTTTTTCTTTGAAATCCATTATCCCTTCACTGCCCTTGCTTCCTAAACCCAATGAATCTAATACTATGGCAACAAATGAACTCTTCGGTGTTCCAGGAGAAAACTCTTCAGTAGCTCACATTGGAGGTAATGAAACTAGAGAAGAACAATCTACCTTGAAAGTAAACTGCAAAAAGGGATATTGGTGTAATGTTTATGATGAACAACCTCAAATATCTCTAGAAAGTACAGGGGGTAATGTACTTCTGTCAACACCATGTGAAGATTATTCTCTGTTTTTAAAAGAGGAAAAGAGAAAGTGGAATGAAGAGGATAGTGAAAAATATTCGTCTGAGAAAGGATTTGGTATCGAGGCACTGAAAGAATTATACGAGGACCTGATGGTTAGTGAGTTATACGGATTGTCATTCTGGGGATTTTGTCAAATATTAAACCCTTATAGCGCAGAAAAAGTGGAGAAGGCAGCATCTCTTGAAAGAAAAGATGCAACTATTTTATGGATGAGCGCAGAAGCTGCTGTCAGTGATCAACTACAGCTTATAAGAAACATGAGTGCAGAATCAGAACCTGTGACTTCATTTTTTGCCACAGTGGAGTCCGTTGAAGGGTTCCTCATGTGTTTTTGTAATGCGTACTGGAATACTCTGAAGTGTTTTGGGTTAAATCCCTCTAATGGGGGTTCAGTAGTGTAGAGGTAGATCTGTGGATTAAGAGGAAAAGAAAAGAAATGTGAATAAAACTTTATGAGCTTATCTGTTTGTTTGGCCTTCTTTCATAACCATTTTAGTATTATCTTGCTTTTTGACTTTTCTACGAGGGGGTTACGCAACAGGAAGGATATGTGGTCTTCACTCACAAAGCTAAATACTTTACTGCCTTTAACTCAGCTTCCAGCTGAGCTACAACAGCTCGCTCAACGAGCCATAGATGCCCATCGAAATTCTTATTGTCCTTATTCTAACTTTGCAGTAGGGGCTGCCCTCCTTCATAAGGAGAAGAGTATCACTACAGGTTGTAACTACGAGAATTGTACTCTAAAAGGATGTTGTGCTGAAGTATGCGCTATTGTGAAAGGTAATTCTAACGGGCACCGTACCGCTGAAGCAGTTGCCATTTACGGACGCAATAAGAACTTGAATGCTGGAAATACTCCATCCGATACCCTCACACCACCGTGCGGATTTTGCCGACAGTGGCTTGTCGAAGTTGCTGACCTTTCGAATAACTATGAAGAGTTTCTTGTCCTTCTTGTTACACTTGACAAGGAACATGCAAAACTGGTAAAACTTTGCGACCTTATTCCTCTTAAATTTGGACCCTCAAACATTGGTATGAATGTATCTCAACTAGCGGAAGAGGTGGGTAAGTTAACTGAAAATACTGAAAATCTTAAGTAACATGAGGAAGTTGTAGTACTTTCTTTCTTTTGAAGTTTTACTCACAGAGCTCTCAATCAGGTGTTTAGGAGCTTATTTGTGCTTCTTGAGATGGTGGTTCTGCCAAAGTAAAAAAAAAAAAAAGTGAAAGGTAAATATCTACCTAATAAATAGAAGTTTTTCTGTAGAAGTGTTTGGTTATACATTTTGGATTTTCTTCCTTTTCATAGCTTCTACATCTTTGTTTTTTTTTTTTTTTCCATCATCAATTGCTTTCCTCGTTAAAGGTAGGTGAAGAAGAAGAAGAAACCTCCAGTAAGAAGAGTACTGAACGTTATGCTTAGGTCTTCACCATGAACCAACCTACACTCCTTTCCTATGGATTGGAAAGCGTAACATGCGAAGAATATTGAGAACAGAATGGAGAAATGTTAGGCTAAATCGGATTTAATTTATAACCTACAATGGTACAATTGATGTAGGAGGAAAAGGATGAGTGGGGTGGGTGGTTCTTGATTTTAATGGGTGCGTGATGCTCCCTTCTTCAGGTATAAAAAGAAACTAATCTCCTATCACTATTCAAAGTTGCCACTGGGGGAGCTTCGTATCTCTTATAGTAATAATCCTCAATCACGAGGGGTATGAAAGTGGTCTGTGCATGACTGAAGAGAACGAAATGATCTTTATTTTGCAAGATCCTGTTCCTTCTCCGGTGGCATTATGGATGTGTTACTGAGCTATTTATACTTTCTCAGTCTTTGTTTGTTTCCTGGTTATGGGTTACGTGGAGAGAGAAAAGTAAAAGTATAAAAAGGAAACAACGACGTTGTTGATGAATTCAGTATTGATAAACATCACAATAGCTTATTGAAAATAAGGAGCAAAGTGAAAGTGCTCCATATAATTTTTTTCGTTTATTGCTGTCATATATATATATATATATTTTTTTTTTGTATATATATTTATATGTTCGGTGTTACGGCTTTATTTCGATGTGAAATTGAGGGTGGGGGTCGCATCTTTGTTTTTGTATGACGTTTTTATTTATTTTGTTGTTGTTATATATCTTATCCTTTTTTGTACCAACTACATATTTGAATCTTTTTTCCATCCCTCTCTTTTTTTTTTTTTTACACTCAATATGTGTCACCTCCTGAAAACTAGTTCCTTTACCAGGAAAAAGGGAGTGGGGTAACTGCAGCAATTGCAAAGAAAGACTTCATGGACAACTCAGACGTATGCACTGCTGCTACAGATGCAGTCCCGTCAGTCAAACCTTGCGAAGGTACAGATTCAGTGCCAACACGAGGCATCTGCGCGGTAAAGGCGGAGTATCTTCGTCCTGCACCGATACGTGTTAATCTTGATGCTGAGGGACGAACGAGGGGAATGAACAAGGGGGCAGAGCGTCAGCGTTCTGCTGCTGTTGAGGGTACACAGCGACCCACTTTTGAAGGGGAATCAAATTTTTTTCACGGTGAGGTCTTGCAACGTATTAAAGCAGTAGTACGACAGCAAAATGTGGGGGGTTCCAAACGCTCACGTGATGAGAAAAAGGATGAGGTTCCACCAACAGAGACATCAACAGAAAATGGAGATACAATTACTACAGAGTTGAACAGCAGTGCTACTGAAACCATTTTACAGTCCCATGATAATCATATTGCTACGAAAAATAGTGATATGGTTCATGCAAGTAACACCGAAGAAGCGTTACGTGAGAGTCAAGCACGACGTAAAAGTTTGTTTACTAATAAACTTGTTTTAGCACCCCTTACAACAGTTGGTAATCTCCCGTTTCGTCGTATATGCAAGACATATGGTGCCGATATTACAGTAGGCGAAATGGCACTTGTGTATAATCTTAATCGTCTTCAAAAAAGTGAGTGGTCATTGTTGCGTCGACACGAATCAGAAGATATTTTTGGTATTCAAATAGCTGTTTCTAGACCTCAAGATGCTTTGACTTGGGCAAAAGCTATTGAAACATCTGGATTTTCATATGATTTTGTTGATATTAATTGTGGTTGTCCTGTTGATAAACTTGTGCTTTCAGGTTGTGGTTGTGGTTTGTGGGAACGGAAAGGAAATCGATTAAAAGATGTTGTGCAGTCACTTGCACAAAATCAGTCAAAACCGGTTACTATAAAGTGCCGAATTGGACCTGACGAAGATGCTCCATTGCTGCATAAACAAATCGGGGAATATGAAGGATGGGGAGCTTCAGCTGTTACTATACATGGCCGTTCCCGTAAACAACGGTACACAAAGTTGGCAAATTGGTCCTATGTTGATGATTGTGCTACACGAACGAACCTACCTGTAACTGGTAATGGTGACATATTATCCTGGGAGGATGTTGTAGAGCATCGTGAACAATGTCCGCATGTCAACTCATACATGATTGGTCGAGGAGCACTTATCAAACCTTGGATTTTTGAAGAGATCAAGATGGAACAGTCTAAAGATATAAGTAGTCATGAACGTTTTGAAATATTACGACGCTTTTGTGACTATGGATTGTCACATTGGGGATCAGACGAACGGGGAGTTCTTACTACACGACGCTTTCTCTGCGAATGGCTTTCTTTCTTGTGTCGCTATGTCCCAGTTGGACTTCTCGAGCGTCTACCACAACGGATGAATGAGAGACCACCTTTTTATGAGGGACGAGATGAGTTGGAAACGCTTATGTCAAGCGATAGCGCAGTGGATTGGATTCGCATTAGTGAGATGCTTCTAGGTCCTGCAGGTGATAAGTTTAAGTTCACTCCAAAGCACAAGAGTAATAGCTACGCTAACAGTGGGTCATCAACCGACATGGACATGAATGTTGAAGGCTGATGACAGTTGTTAAGAAAAAAGGTGATACTCTTCAGTATTACGTTGTGGTGGTTGTTTGTGTGTTCTTGAGGTGAGGATAATGCGTAATTATTAATAAAATGGATCAATATAGGGTATGAAAAAGAAGAAGAAAGCAGATTAAATAAGAAGAATAATTGATGGGTGTTAGATGGGCTGACACCACTTCATTTTTTTTTTTTTGTTTTTTTTTTTCTTACCATCTAACTGTTCTCATTATTTTGTGTGTTTTTTTTTTTTTTAATTATTGTTTTTTTTTTCTTTTTTTTTTCAGGTTCTTCAGAATAGAAGTGAAAAACATTGCAATAATGAGACGTTACACGCACTCTCTCAAGCGTGTAGATGATGTATTACGGAGGCGTACCATCGCAAATATGACGATGACAATCTCTTTATTTTTCATTTTAATGATGGTTGTTATTGTTAACGCAGCCCCTGTTAAGTGGAGTCAACCATTGGGCAACAAAGCCCCCAAAAGACCAATGATACCAGAAGAAAATATGGCCCCTGTAATTATGCCTTTTGGTTCAAATGGGAGTGTAGCCCAACTCTGTCGATCTGGTGTGCACTTGGAATGGGCGGCTCGAGTCGGCAGCAGTGTGTTCGCCACTCCGCGTATCGTTGACCTTAGTCACGACGGAAATAAGGAAATTCTTGTGCCAACGTACACACAATACCTGGAAGCCCTTGATGGATTTAATGGCGAGGATGTAGCTGGTTTTCCATTCGTACATCCAAGCTTTAAATCATATGCCAGTCCACTCCCGGTTGACATGGACGGTGATGGTAAGACGGAATGGCTTGTTGCTATGTATACTGGTGAACTGATGGTATTCGGAGATGATGGGAAAGCACGTGGAGCAGTTCAAATTCCATCTTTACCTATAAAGAAAAACTGGATGAAGAAGAACCTTACCAGAGATAGTGCTGTGAATTTTAAGCTTAAAAAAATGGAAAAATCGGAAGAATGGTTACGTGAAGTCATACGGGCAAGAAGAATGCTCGATATGACACACCAATTTACTAGGATGCGCAACAATGGGACCTATAAAAAGAAACGTAGTAATCCCTACGAGACTGCAGGAACGGCGACAGAAAAAGGAGATGATAATATTGCTGAAGAAAACCAGAGGGATATTGCTGTAGAGGAGGAACCTGGTCGACAACTTGCAGGAATGGGTGAAGGAGGTGGAGATGAAGAAGATGGTGCATTTCCCGTTGCAAATGACCAGAACGCTGGAGAAGGTAATGATCTTCTGGGTAACGATGGTTTAGATGATGATAATCTTGACATGGATGATCTTGATGATTTGGTTGGCCTAGATGGTCCCCAGGACCCTGATGACCTAGGAAAACATCAGGGAATTGGTACGGACGGTTGGCTTAGCCGAGAAGCAAGGGCTTCAATGGACCTATTGTATCACCCAGAGTTATACAAAAGCAGTGTAAACTATGAAGGTGAAAAGGATGCTTTTAACTTCCACAATATGCGAAGCCCATCATCTGCAGAGGTGGCAGAAGATGAAGTGGCTGTTGACCCTCATATTATGTCTACACCAGTTATTGTGGACGTAGATGGTAATGGGGATCTTGATGTGGTGTTACATGTCAGTTTTTTCTTTGATCCCAGAGCATATGAAGGTGAAAAAGCTGAATTACTCCCACCAGATATTGATATGGACGATTACGTGGCAGATGCTGTCATGGTTGTGAATTTGGTCACTGGTGAGGTAAAGTGGCTTCAGGTGTTACACCTCACATCCAAGAATGATACAAACCCAGCCTACGCACTATCATCCCCGGCAATCGCCAATCCTAATGAAGATAAACAACAAGAGATTTATGTAACAACAACAGCTGGTGCTATTTTTGGCCTTTCAGGACAAGGAAAATTGCTGAATGGATGGCCAGTTTGGATGGGTAGTACAATAACAGCGGGGGTCTCTATGGAAGATGTTGATGCTGATGGGATACTTGATATCTGTGCCGGTGATGCAAGTGGATATGTTGCCTGTTACACGGCAAAAGGAGAAAAAATCTGGGGAAGAACTTTCCTTGGAGCAGTAACAGATCACATTACATTTGGTGATATAGATGGTGATGGAAACGTTGATCTTGCATTTGGTACATCTTCAGGTCTTCTTTATGCTGTGCGAGGTAGCAATGGTGAAGTACTACCACACTTTCCAGCTGCAACAGAGGGTCCTATTCTTGCACCTCCACTCCCGGTAAATCTTAACAAGACAACTGTGGGGATGAATGAAAATGAGAAGGGTCTTCACTTAGTTGTTCCTTCTCATGATGGCGTTCTGTACATTGTAAGTGGCACTACAGGTTGTGTAGACGGTATTGACATAAATGAAAAGTCTCCTGCAATGGTGCTTGCTGATGATATGACTGGGAATGGTAAACTGGATCTTATTGTAAGTACACTTAGTGGAAGTATCATGGTTTTTGAGACACCGGCGAACTATCATCCCCTAAAGGCGTGGATCAGCCGAGTGAAGGCCACAAACGGTTACACTGCTTCAGAAGGATATGTGGGCGTTTATATTCATCCCAGCAGTCGTGCAGCACGTGATGTTCGTGGTGATACTTTTACACTTTTAGTCACCATTCACGATAAGCGACCTGGCACTGCAGTAAAGCGAAGGTATGGCCTCACTATCACCATTGGTCCTCGTGTTTTGGTGCATCAAAAAGTGTACAGTGCCCCTGGTACGTACGCCATTACAATGCGCACTCCTCCAGAAAGAATGTATGCCTCTGTTTATGCTATTATGTTGCTGCCGAATGGGCAAAGGTATGAGGACAGTGTAGCGTTAAGTTTCAACATGCACTTTCTTGAGAGCATTAAGTTTACTTTTTTGATCCCGTACGTGGTAGCGTGCCTTGCTATTTCATTCGTTAGTCGCCGGCATGAGGTGGAACCACCAGCGTTCGAGCCACAGTATTACTAGGTAAAAAAAAAAAGCAACGAATATCGTTGCAGGATTTGAGAAGAAAAGGAAGAAAAGGAAAAAAAAAGAAGTAATAACAGTAGTAAGTTTTTTTTTTTTTTTTTTGTATGTGTGTATGTGGACGTCTCTGCAATTCTCTTTCCGGCAGAAGGAAAAGCAAGTAGAATGCGTCTGTCTAGAACCAAAACGAAAAAAAAAAACTCTTTCTCTGTCCTTCTGCTTCCAAAAGCGAAAAGCTAAAGAAAAGGGGAAAAAAAAAACGATACTAAACCAGTTTCTGAGTGCTTCCTTAATGTGTTTTTTCTCTCACTCTATCTGTGCAGTTTTTTTTTTACCTAAAAATACTATTAAATGTGTTTTTTTTTTTTTTTGTTTTTGAACTCTTTTCACCGTATCTCTGTAAAGAAGTAATTCGATCTAGAAAAATATGTTAAAGTACACACCCATTTTAGCACAGCTCCAGCGGCAGTACTTGGCACATTTAATTGGTTACTCAGCTGCATTCGCTGAACCGTCTGAACGACCAGTTAGTACTTTTCAAATGGCAAATGCCCTGTACTCACCCGCATCAACCCAAATAGCACGACGCAAAGGACATGCTGAGCGGCAAAAAAAGTATACAGCAAAGGTACGCCTTGCCTTGGGCACTAGTCGCTACCAACTCGGTATGAAAGATGGCATCTAACTAATAAATAAAAAAAAAAGAAGCGGTGAATAACTAGAAAAAGTGAATCCAAACAATGCTCCTCTTTCTTTTATTGGATTGGTGTAGTGCCAAATTGAGGGTGACAGGAACAGTGTACAAAGTTAATGAAGCACCGACACACATACATATGAACATAAAACATATGCGAGTATGAGAGTGTATTTTCTCATTTTCTTTCTGTAAGTATTTCCCGTCTTATTCTCTTTTCTTTGCGGATACTTGGAGGAACAGAAAGGGACTGCGTGTATGGAGTCGTCTTTTTTGGCGTGTAGGAGGGGCTGCATCCTCATCTCCTGTCAGACGACGTGGTGATTACTCAGCAATGATTGCTTGTTTGGTGAATTGTTTGTTTTCCATGTTTTCCCACCAGGATGATAAGCGAGGAATGCTGCTGTTGGGCCACACTGTGTCACCACGTACGCGCATAATATGGTGTTGCTGCAGACGGTGGACATAACGGACTCCCATCGCCGTGGATCCAGTGTGTGTTTAGGTCGCTGTTGTGAATACGACTCCTCCCCTGCTATTCTGCACTTGCTCCCTCTTCCTTCTCCTCCATCCCTCTCTCTCTTTCTCTCTTTCTGAATGTGTTGTCTCTTAGAGAAGCAATCGAGTATTCTTTCTGAATTTTCTTTCTCCATCCCTCTCTCTTACTCTCATCAAGCGGGGTTGGCGAATCAGTGCACACATTTACACAGGCGTAAAATAAGTAAATAAACATACAGTGACACAAACACACACACGTCTACATATACGCGTTCTCACAGACGGACTAACGAATTAACTGGAGGAAATGGCTAGGCCAGGCGCCCGACGAACTCTGGCGTTGGGCATTGAGGGTAGTGCCAACAAGATCGGTGTAGGGATTGTTGATGAGGCGGGGAACGTATTGTCGAATGAGCGCAGGACATACATCACCCCAACAGGGACAGGCTTCTTGCCGCGCGAGACGGCGCAGCACCACACGGAGCATATACTCCAGCTGGTGCAGGCTGCATTAGCGGCGGCCAATGTGCAACCCTCTGATATCAGCGTCATCTGTTACACAAAGGGGCCAGGAATGGGAGCACCACTTGCAGTTGGTTGCACCGTGGCCAAAACACTCTCACTGCTTTGGTCAGTGCCTCTGGTTGGTGTGAACCACTGTATTGGGCATATCGAGATGGGCCGCGTCGTAACGGGGAGCGAGAACCCAGTGGTGCTATACGTGAGCGGTGGTAACACGCAAGTCATCGCCTATGCGGAGCACAGGTATCGCATCTTTGGCGAGACGATTGATATCGCAGTGGGGAACTGCCTCGACCGCACAGCACGTCTGCTTGGACTCTCGAACGACCCTGCTCCAGGATACAACATTGAGCAGTGTGCCAAGCGAGGCAGCCGCTTCATTGAGCTCCCCTATGTTGTGAAGGGGATGGATATGTCCTTCAGTGGACTACTTTCCTTTGTGGAGGCGCTCCTGTACCATCCACAGTTTAAGGACAAGGATAAGTGCCCGTGTCTCCAGTCATCAGGCTCTTCCGCGCAACGACGTGCATTGCCGAATGGAGTACAGTGCGCTGTGGACGAGCCTTTTGGCATTGACGACATCTGTTACTCGCTGCAGGAAACGATGTTTGCCGTGCTGGCGGAAGTGACAGAGCGAGCCATGTCGCAGTGTACATCCAGTGAGGTGCTTATCGTTGGCGGGGTTGGGTGTAACCTTCGCCTGCAGGAGATGATGCGTGCGATGGCGGAGTCTCGCGGAGGCCGTTGTTTTGACATGGATGCACGCTACTGCATCGACAACGGCTGTATGATAGCCTACGCTGGTCTATTAGAGTACCTTGCTGGGGGCTTCACCCCACTGCCGAATGCTACCATTACGCAACGCTTCCGCACGGATGAGGTGAATGTGTCGTGGCGCCGGTGATGGGAAACTGTCATGAACACAGACAAAGGAAGAAGAAAAAGGAAAGTTGGGTGGCCGATCCACATGTGTAATGTGAAGGGGTCGCAGGTTGTGTTGTTGGGCAGCGGCGCGGTGCCGTACAGAGTAGTGCTTACTTGTTTGATGGCATGACGTTCCTTTTTACCTTCTTTTCTCTTTCACACACATACACATACATAGGCAAACCTCCGCAAAAGAAGTTCTTCATGGTGACAACATCATTGATAGCCCCGCCCAAGATCTCTTAGCGGATCGCCCTGCCACTAAGAAGGACGCACACATATGGAAAGAAAGGGGAGGGGAGGGACGGCGCGACATCATCAGGGCATTGGAGGAGGCAAAACGATGTCCCACAAGGGGTCCCGCGCACCACCGCTTCCGCAATGCAGAGCCATGCTCCTTGGACGAGGCGCGTCGGCATTGCCATTCGAAGACGATGGCGGGACGGTGGCTCAAATAAGAGTTCATTTTTTCCGAGTTCCTTCTCTTGTTGATGCGGGGGCGGTGGTCGCCATCGCAAACGTTCGCTATTCAATGCCCGATGGCAACCCCCCTCGCCGAAGCAGTGGTGGAGTTCGGCGTGGGAAACGCAAACCGTTGCCAGGGGCACTCGCATGGGTCCCGTTTCCCGTGGGGAGGTGCAATGGGTCGTTTTTGTTTTTTTCGCTGG